AGTCAAGCGGTTCAGCCAATACACAGACAGGAGGAACGGGGAGGTAACTCAGGAACCAGTTGACAGAGCCAACATTTTCTGTTGTCAGCCCCGAGAGAAGGCAGAGCTTAACGGTTGCTGCCAACAGGGTTGTCATGCAGATAACAATCAGTTCAGACAGAATTGATATAGATTTTTCATTACCAATACGAAGAGCAGATCTTGAAGTATGCAACTTTCGACAGCTCTTAGCTCTTATTGATACTATCAGAGGTATTCAGAGTTTTGGGTTTCGGTTCTAAGGGATCCAAGATGACATCAACACAGAAGAGAGTGAACACTTTATATGTTGCAGAATACAAATCTCAGAACTTTCCAGGAAAAACTTGAAAAAGAATTTAAAAAAAAAGTTCACATTTTTGGAAAAACTTAAGAACATCAAGAGACTCCAAAACAGATCTGTGATAGCAAAGGGACAATACGAGGAAGTTCTTGAGAAAGTCTCAGAAGAAGTCGAACTCCAGATAGTTGTTACTCTGGTCGGGCCTGACACTGGTAGATGTTGCAGCCGGGGCAGGGACATTCTCGAGCTCAACCGGTTTCGGAATCTCAGGAGGACTTGCACATCTGACCAGTGCCCAGTTCACTCCTTCGAAGAAAGGATGCTGCTTTATCTCTGTTGCTCCACGCTTATACGCTAATCTGTGTTGAGGTTCCTTCACAAGCAAACCCCTGATCAAATCCCTTGCTGCAAAACTTACAACCGGAGATTCCGGGAAACGTAGAGATTGGCCCACGACGTTGAAGAGCGTTGCCCGGTTCCCCGACCCTTTGAATGGGGTTTTACCAAACAAAAGCTCGTACAGAAAAATCCCGAAAGTCCACCAATCGACTGCACTCCCATGCCCTTCTCCTTTGATGATCTCGGGAGCCAAATACTCATGTGTACCGACAAATGACATTGAACGGGCATTTGTTGGCTCGGCTATGAGCTCGGGCAGTGGGGTCACCTGGTTTCCTGTCTCGTTTTTTATTTTCTTGTCTTTCTTGGATTTACTGGAGAAGAACCGTGGAGAAAAACATGTAGTGGGCGCCATGGCCATGCAAGATGGTTGCTGGATGCAAGCTGGTTGTGCACAGTAGACTGAGTTCTTTTGCAAAGTTTCAGTTCCAAGAGCAGTTGATCTCACTACTGTAGGACTGACGGTACACCTGAGGGAGAGATCGAAGTCAGAAAGCATCACATGCCCATCTTCTCTCACAAGAACATTCTCCGGCTTTAGGTCTCGGTAAATGATTCCGAGCATGTGGAGATATTCCAGGGCAAGCAGTACCTCTGCTACATAAAACCTGAAAGAACAAACAACAATACCATGACACAACAAGAAAAAAAAATACAATTTTTTAACATAATATGAAGAAGATCAGCCAATGCTGAAGCCATGAGAGAATATTTTCCATATTGAGATGTTTGTGATCAGATGATGCAAGATTGAACACTTAACGTATTATGATTCATGTTTTTTTCTTACTTTACTGCTTGTTCAGAGAAACGCTTGCCAGGCTGCCTTTGTCGAAGGGTATGCAAGTCACCTCCAGGGCAGAACTCCATAACCAAGCATGAGAACTTCTCAGTCTCAAAATGGCTATACAATGTCGGAAGAAAAGGGTGGTCAAGACATTGCAATATCTCCCTCTCAGTTTGAGCTCGGAGAAGCTTTTTACGGCTAGCCAAAGCAGCTTTGTCCATAACCTTCATTGCAAAATAACACTTAGTTCCGTTCAACTCAGCAAGATGGACAGTCCCGATATCCCCGCATCCAAGCCTCTTCAAAAGCCTAAAATGGTTCAAACCCAGACCTCCATTCTTCGATCGGACAGCTTGTATTGCCTCCCATCTCACATCATTTGCCTTGTGAGGCTTGTTAATGCCACTTAAGCTGCTACAAGTGCTTTCATCACTGACATCGCTACTTGTGCTTGGTCTACATGTGCTACTCTTCCCGCTCTCGGCAAATTCAGGCTGCTCGCTAAGTTTTGCACTTCTGCTGGTTTTGCCATCACTACTCAGATCAGCAAAAGACAAACTCGAAGATACTTGATCCGCCAAAGTGTTGACTGAAATACTCATACTGGAATTAGAGAGTGTTCCTTCTGGGGTTTGCATATCACTCTTTTCGCTACCCTTTTCTCGGTTAACTCCAGAACCAGATCTCGAGGCCATGGAGGAGAAAATTGATCAACTGCAGTAGAATCTAGAAACCCATCACTTGGACACCAAGATCCAGGGAACTACTCTAAACTCCACTTACCACTGCTATCACAGATTCCACCAAACACTGACTTGGATCTGCACAAAACAAAAAAGAAGCATCAGTAACGTTGTCCCGAAAAGAAAACATCCAGACAACAACTTTAAAGCCCTTCAAGATTCAGAAAACATGAGATAGCATTTGTTCAGAAAGTTACTAGCACGGGGAAGATCAACCATCAAGACTTCAATAATCATGGATATTGACCGGAGCTTTCACGTTTACCGTAGTCAAGCACCAGACTTTACCACGAAATTAAGTAGAAAACACACATAAACCCTAAAAAGTCCCTATATTTAGATTGGAGATGAACTCAGCAGTAGCCGCATCTCATGCGTTTACTAGCCAAATTATGAGCAGAAAACAAAAAAAAAATCATAGAAAAATTTGATCGTTCAAACAGAACACAAATCCAACCAATCAATTCGTGCTCAACCGCCTCATGGATCTCGAGTTCAAACCTCACTGAAAATCACTACGTCGATGTTATGATCACTCCATAGAAATTCACTACTTCCGCCACGACCCTTCACGCTCTCTGATCTTCAATCCTTATGCACAACAAAGTTTCGAAGAAACATCTCATGCAAAGCAGAGTTTTCCGGAGGCTTATACAGATCTCGGAAAAGCAAGAACGAGGAAGCAATCTCCTTCTGGATCTACCCAGACCAAGAAAAACCCAGTTGCTTAAACCCAAAAAAGAACAGACTTTGACGACGAAAACAAAAGGGGATCACAATTCAGTACCTGAATAATTGCTCTGAGAGACTAAGATCTCAGCCCCTTTATTGCCCCTTTTTTTCCCGGAAAGTAAGAAGGAGAAGAAGGGGGTGAAGGTGAAAAACCAGACAATCTTACTGTTCATGCATCGTTGAAGAGAGAGAAACAGGAATGGAGGAACTCATCTCCATCCTTCCATGGAAATAGAGAGAGTGGGAAAAGAGGGTTGGGGCTACCATGGAAAGAGGGGAGAGAGGAAGGTCAAAGCAAAAGTTTTCATCTTTTTGAGGGGGCTTCAATTATTTCCATGTATTTTTGTTTTCTCCAAAATGGAAGACAAGGGTTTCCATCAACACCTCGAAAGATTTCCAAGGGTGCTTTGCTCATCAGAAGTAATAATTGAATAAACAAAAAAAAAAGGACAAAAGATAAAGGCAAAATAATATTTTCATTTCATGTGACCCTTAAATAGTTTTACAATTGAATTACCTGATTAGTTTTTTTTTATATTCTGACAACAAATTAGATTTTTGATATTTATGTTATATAACTTATAAATATGTTATATCTTGTTTAATCTGGTTAAATTATTATCGTCAGAAGATTACATAATTTTATGAAAGAATATATAGAAGTTTGTGCTTAAAAAACACATTATCTTATGTAAGATTCAATGCGTGATAGTTTGGTTGCTTCATGTGTGCCCACTGCCCCCCTAATTTCTCTGTCTCCACACAATTTTTTTCTTTGGTGATGGGTTTTTTATTTTTCTCTAAAGCCTTCAGTTGAATGAGAGGATTAGGATATGATCACATTTAATGAGCCATACTTTACCACATCCATATGATACATATGGAAGTAAGAATCAAACCACCAATAAAAAAGCAAATGCACAGATTTCTTTATTTCAGCGCCTTGAAATCACAATTGCTGTCTTTTATCTTTTGGGTAATTCAAAAGAAATATCATTTCATTTTCCTATCTGGATTTTGGAATATCCATTTGTAATGTCTTGAAAGTGTATCCTACTTGAGACACAAAACACAAGAACAGTGGATAAAGTCATACAACAAACTGTAACATGGTATACCAAATTTATATCTCATTAGGCTTATGTCTGCATATATATATATATGCGTGTAGGTACTGAAAATCTAAAAATATAACAAGATAGAGTTGACAGGATCTGACAAAGATGGATGGATGTGGGATGGGTTGTCATGTTCCCCAACACAAGTCCCACATTAGGATTCAAATCTCTAACAAGAAAACTCCAATCAGTGAACAGCTCACTGCCACTCCTTTTTTATTATTTATATCCATTTTCCTAATTTCTTAAAAAGAAATATATATATATATCAGAAAAAATGCACAGCCTTTCAACCCTCTTTTGGAGTTCCTGTCATGTGACAAATTAGGTTTTCTCAGCGAGTTTAGTTATATCTCAACATCAAAGCAGAAAGTGATGAGTTGGGGACATTCCCTTTGCAGAATCCAAAACAGCTTCACAATCAGAAAGCATTTTTACTGAAATGAAACAAAACTTCATCTGGACATGTAACTTGTCCATGGAGTTCAACATAGATAGATTCTTAACTGTTTCCCTATGGTTTTCCGAGTGTTGAGGTTACATGCAACAGTAAATTAATCAGAGATGCTAACGTATATATAGCCTTAAGAGGGCACAGTCTATTACCTTCCCTGGAAACCCTCTCTCTCAGGCGCAAGAAGAATCAATTTTCTCCACGGTTCTTTTGCGTCTTGACCTCTTCCCTCTCGTTCTTTGCCTTTTCTCTCATGGCTTTTCTCTTATCTTCCCTGCAAATTGTTCAATATTTGGTGAATACACATCGTCTAAAGCGTTGGTATGGTTTTTCAAACAAAACAAGATAATATAAGCATTACAATAACGTTTAATATTTTCACACTTAAGATGCTTTACCTAGATTGAGCAATTTCAGCCTTCCATTGAGATCTCTTCTTCTTTTGCTTTCCGGCTTTAGACTGGTCCTCTGCATTCCCGTTTTCTGATTTGGCATTCGTTCCCTTTTTGCGCTTGTTGGCCTCGTTTGATTTTGGAATTCTTTTTCCGTCGGAGGATTTGAGTTTTTTCTTAGTTTCTTTAGTCTTCTTCTCTTGCTTCGGTTGCCCATTGGTAATAGCAGACTTCTCTAACTCGTCGTTGGCCTCAGCTGTATCATCGTTTGGCACTTGAGCTTGCTCCACGGTTTCAACTGGATCATCGCTTTCTGAAGTTTGCTTCGCATTGCTCATTTTCTTTAACTGTAGAAAGAAAAGCAGAGAGAGAGCACCAAATGCATAAGGAAAATACTCACTACTGCTCAATATTAAGACTTATTCACATGAAACAATTGATCACACACAAAAAGGGTCTGAAGTTGAATGAGATGATAATAAGCAAACAAATTCTGGAATACACCTACCTTTGCCACGAAAAATCCATCCATGTTATGTACATGGGGGTAGAACCGTCTAGTCTTCTCCAAAGACGGGTGGAATCTGTGTTCTCTAAATCTGACGAAGCTGATGATCATAACGAAAAGTTTATATTAGACGAGTCAGGAATGTTTGATAGCATACCAAAGCTCAGAAGAACATATTACCCAGGCTGGCCAAAATCAAGTCCACATGGAACGAGTTTAACATCCCTTTTCTTCAGAGCATAGTCAATGACAGCTTCGTTCTGCGCAGTGTTACACGCATGAAATGAGGAGGCAGAAGAAAGAAAAATACATATGGAACCAATTATAGGTTAACCAACCTCGGGAATCATGATTGAGCATGTTGAGTAAACAATATATCCTCCAGTTTTAGAATTGGCATCCACCATATCAATAGCGGCAAGAATAAGTTGCTACACACAAAAAAGCGTTAAATTAATCTTATGAGGCTCAGGCATCCTCCTCACAAAAGCAGGGTGAAAAGGGTCTTCAGACAATTTTATTCTCTTCAAATACGATTTTAGAATGTAAGAAACGTTTCCTGACATATATTGGAAATAGCCTAAGAAGGCACAGCCACACCTTTTGCAAATGGGCACATTTCTGTATGTCATCAGCACTTTTGGAAGTCTTAACTGACTCATCTTTTGATATAACCTGCATTAGGTAGTAAGACATTTAAATACAAGAAGAGAACAAAAACATAACAAGAACCTAGAACCGGGCAGTAAAATTACTTACCCCAGTCCCACTGCAAGGTGCATCCAACAATACTCTGTCAACTGAGTTGACACCTAAAACCTTGGGTAGCTGAAAGGAAACAATATAGAATTAACAAGTGCAATGGGATAATAGATGTTCTGCATACCGAATGTGCAAGACCCAAAAGGCAAAAAAAAAACAAGTTAACAAAGCGAAGCATGAGTTCCTCATTGGATCAAGCAAACAAAGAATGTCTGATGTCATATTCTCGCCAGTTTTGTTTCCTTTTTCAGAGTCATGATTACAAACATGTTTGTCATCCCCAAGAAGAATGTAGGTTCAAGACTCTAACCTCTCTTCCATCATAGTTACACACTATGGTATTCGTCACCCCCATGCGGTGCAGATTGGCAGTCAATGACTTTAGCCTTGGTACTTTCATTTCATTTGCATAAATTATGCCTGTTCATTTCATCATCACAACACTAAGATACCATAAACCTGGACATGAAGCTAAAAAGAGAAAAAAAAAACAATGAAAGCATACCAGAATTTTTCATCAGAGCTGCAACATAAGTTGTTTTACCACCAGGCGCAGCACTACAGAGAGAATACATATACAATAATCACACTTTTTTACATGTCTAAACATTAGAACTGGCCTTTCATTTCCATGGTATTCAGCTCAAGCAGTTTGCGTCATAACACATCATACATCTACCATAACATACTGTACATGAGAGGACAATTTTCAAGCACTACTTGATAAAACATATGTTGCCATTGCCACAAAAGGGTCGAAAGTAATAGAGATAATAACTTACGCTACATCAACAACCCGTTCGTTCTCTCGAGGAGCAAGGGCCATCACTGGTAAAAACGAACTAGCGCTTTGCAGCTGCAAATGCAAAAAGTAAAGACTTAAGTGAACAATTTAAATATCCATAGAAGTAAACTGAAAGGGCACAAAAGATCAAACGATCACTGACCATGTAGAAACCAGCCAAATATTCAGGAGTTGCACCAATGGGCACTTGAGAATCATAAACAACGAGCCCAACCTACAATTACGATTACAGTGTCGTCTATAGGATACCCACGGAATAGGATCGACAGACTGAAGTGAAAACAAAGCAACAAATACTACTTACTTTGGACCACTTGCTTAACGGGTCTAGATTAACACCTCTGTTCAAAAGAACATCAGCTAGATCCCGTCTACGAGCCTAAACAAAAAAAAAGCATCATTATGAAATTGCAAAACTAAGAAATAGTAATTCCGTGACACAAGAAAGCACAACAAAGTTCACCTTAAGAGTGTTTGTCCGTATACATGTAGGCCTCTGCTTTTCAAAAGCTTCTATTAGCTCCATGAGTTCAACAACAGGAAACATCTGCAAATAAAATCTCAATTAACCATATACGATAGAATATATGTGACCTCTTACACAGAGAACTAAAGATTAGAGATCAGCAATAAACCTCAACCAAAGTTCCAATAAGAAATTCATTATAGCCATAGTAAGAGCCAAGATCAGCTTTAAGTTGTTCAACGTAATCCTTCCTCCTCGCTCCCTCTGGCCTCAAATCCTTAAAATTTGATAGCACTCTAACAACTAAAACGAGAATTTACTGTTAAAACTTCATAGCAAGGAAAGATTGTCGAATGCCAAAACAACCCTGATAATAATATCACGTCAAGAATCTAAAAGCAGTAAAATTTGGAACGTTACTCACTCTCTTTTATTCTCCTCTGGATGGTGGGAAGATCTGGTGGCCCTCGTGCCTCTTCTTCAAGTTCCTGAAGTATATATAGAGAACAAAAGACAAGGTTAGAAACTAGCACTCAAGTGTTCGGAGGAAAGTGCTAAATCTCGTTCCTACAAAACAGCCAACGAAGAAACCCAGGAAACTAATTCGACATCCAGATGCTACAATCAAGCAGGACATGGAACTGGATAATGCACCTCTTGGGTTGGTAATCGAAACTCGTCAGATTCTTCCTTAATGTTCAACTGCATCTCAGCTTCAGCTTCTTCCTCCTGCCTTGCACGTTCCTCATCAATAGCTCGAGATTTCGCCTCAATGTCGGATTCATCAGAATCCGAGTCCGCATCCGAACCGGATTCCAAATCCGAGCCCAAACCTTGCTCTTCATCGTCGCTACCTCCTAGAAAGTCGTCGCCCATGGGTTCATCCCCGTCCCCTTCTTCCCCATCACCATCTGAGAAAAAGTCAGAACCTGACTCAGACCCCTGGCTTCCTACTTCATCGGATTCACCCAGCTCTTCAGCTTCTTCGTCGGTAGAAGCATCGGAAACGTCGGAAATTTCAGGCTTTTCGCGGGGCTTCTCCTCGAAAGCAACTTTCTTTTGCTTCTTCGATGGAGGCTTTTGGGATTTCGCTCCTTTCTTCTTGTTACGCGCAACACCTGCCATTGCAAACGTATGAAACTCGAGGGTTCGTCGGCTAGGGTTTAAGGTTTTAGCAGAGATTCGAAGTATAAAAGAGGAGAGAAGCAATGTAACTGAGACGCTTTTGACCGGTCTGACCAATATAACTGGGCCAACACAACTGGACCTTGGCCCAACTATTTTTAAGATATCATTCTTCAGGCCCGAATTTACGAAACTTTCTATTTAGACCCCAATAGTTTTACGAGAACCAGAATAGATTATTATTATTATTATTATGTTACGGTATGAACCAAAGTCAAAATTCATATGTTTAATTTTCATTAAATTAACATATAAATTTTAATTCCAAAATCATTTTTTTTGTCATGACAGAGTTACTGTGTGTGCGTGTGGGTTGGTGTTTTTCGCCATTATACAGCTAATTCATATATGTTTGGAGAAAACTTTCCAAAATATCCGTACGTCAAAATATTCCGAGAAAATATAGCTTGCAAATTTTAAAAAGACGCGTTATCAAGACGTCTATATATATATATATATATATATATATATGTTTATGTATCAACTTGTGAAAATCCATGGAGTAATAATAATCTGAAATGGGATACTCTTCTTGCCGTCCAAAATCATAACATTTCCATTAAAAATCAAAGTATTTATTGCAACAGATAAATTCAGAATTTACGGTTTCCTTTCATGGAGATATACACCGACACGCCAGGCATGAGATCTGACTCGATATGGTAATAACTGAATCTTCAGTCCGATTCATGCACTTTGCTGTGATGAATCTGGTTGTCATTCACGCACTTTTGTCAACGCCCTTCTTTGAATCCAAACGGAATCTTGAATCCGTAGATTCCATTTTTTCCCCAAAAATCAGCACATCATACGATGAAATACTGCCCAGAAATACTATTATTCTTATCCTTTCTTTTCTTATTCAGATTTTTTCATTTAATTTATATAGGATGTAATTTTCTGCCATTAAAGACTACTGGGCCAGGTCTCTGCTTATACATATACATATGTAGTAACATTCATGTGAAAGTATCAGACATTCTCTCAACTTCTCTTACAGGAATCTTCTCCTGTTCCCCCGGCATATTCCACCAACGGCGCCGGGAAAACAACTCATAATAGTGACAGAATGGCAAGTTTCGAAGTCGCCGGACCGGATTCTCATCCTCCGGAGAATAAATCCAAGACCCTCATTGCCGGTAACGCAGTCTTCCTTGGTTTTTGGTTTTGGTTTCGGTTTGTGTTGGTTCTGAAGACATAAACCGGTTTTTCGGTTACGCAGATGAAGAGGCCCAAGTGGAAGTGAACGACAATCCAATAGAGGAAGTCCGGTTAACCGTACCCATAACCGACGATCCGACAGAACCAGTTCTGACATTCAGGACATGGACATTGGGGATCATCTCCTGCGTGGCACTTGCCTTTGTGAACGAATTCTTCTCGTTCCGTACAAACTCGCTCACGGTTAGCGCTGTATCGGCTCAGATCATTACTCTACCGATCGGAAGGCTCATGGCCGCGACTCTGCCGAAGAGGAAGTTCGGGTTCCCGGGAACAAACTGGAAATGGTCACTAAACCCAGGACCCTTCAGCATGAAAGAACATGCCCTCATCACCATTTTCGCAAGCTCTGGTTCTGGAGGAGCTTATGCTACATACATTGTCGCCATTGTAAAGGCCTTTTACCATCAAGCGCTCAATCCCGTGGCCGCCATGTTGCTCGTGCAAACCACTCAGGTAATCCAAAAATCCGAATCGGAATCCGAATGGCCGCTGCTATGAACTTACATTCACCATCAATCTCTGACACCTTTTTATTTGCAGCTTTTGGGATATGGGTGGGCTGGTATGTTCAGGAAATACCTGGTGGACTCGCCATATATGTGGTGGCCTTCCAATCTGGTTCAAGTCTCTCTCTTCAGGTCCGTTTCCGAGCCATTCTGTCCGGTTAATGCCATCTCTAACCGTGATTTCACGTTCGGGTGTTTCGTGAAATTGTCTTCAGAGTGTTGCATGAGAAGGAGGAGATCCGTAAAGGCCAGAGGACGAGGCTTCAGTTCTTCCTCATCGTCTTCTTCGCTAGCTTCGTTTACTACATCGTCCCTGGCTACCTCTTTCCATCCATATCGGCTCTTTCCTTTGTTTGCTGGATATGGAAGAATTCTGTGACTGCCCAGCAGATCGGCTCAGGGCTGAACGGCCTTGGCATTGGATCATTTGGCCTCGATTGGTCCACTGTCGCCTCTTTCTTAGACAGTCCTTTGGCTGTTCCTTTCTTCGCCATTGTCAATTTCTTTGTCGGTTTCTTCATCTTCTTGTACATGGTCGTCCCTTTCTTCTACTGGGGCAACATCTACGATGCAAAGAAGTTCCCGCTATATGGTTCAAAAGTCTTTGGTCAAAACGGGGATAAATACGAGATCAAACGGATCCTCGATGAGAAAACATTCGATATCGATTTACCCGCCTATGAAAGCTACAGCAAGCTCTATATGTCAGTTAGCTTCGCCTTGGTCTATGGAATTAGCTTTGCCACTCTGACTGCCACCATTTCTCATGTTGCCCTCTATGATGGAAAGTAGGGACCTGTTCCTCACAACATCTTGAGTTGGTCCTTCCATTCGAAAACCCGGTTTTTATTAATCTTATCCTGTGGTCTGATAGGTTTATTTGGGATATGTGGAGGAAGACTTCATCGGCGGCCAAGGACGCATTCGGAGATGTGCACACAAGATTGATGAAAAGGAACTACAAAGCAGTACCTCAATGGTGGTTCATAGTCATTTTGGTCATATCATTTGCACTTTCCCTCTATGCTTGTGAAGGCTTTAATAAACAGCTTCAGCTCCCATGGTGGGGACTTGTCCTTGCATGTACCATCGCCTTGTTCTTCACCCTACCTATTGGAGTAATCCAGGCAACAACGAACCAGGTAAAATGAAATGATAGAACCTTCCATGGGAGCAAATCGTTTGGCTGAAAGAATGAATTTTTGACATAGGTTTATGATTTTTGCAGCAAATGGGTCTAAACGTGATTACCGAGTTGATCATCGGGTTCCTCTACCCAGGAAAGCCTCTGGCGAATGTAACCTTCAAGACCTATGGCTATATAAGTATGGCCCAAGCGCTAAGCTTCCTCGGGGACTTCAAACTGGGCCATTACATGAAGATTCCACCGAGATCTATGTTCATTGTTCAGGTACAACCACAAAGACGATTAAAACGTTATTTGATCCAAGTTGATAAAAAATTTCTTCAAGTTAACATGAATGGATATGCTTTTGTATTACCTTTCAGTTGGTCTCCACTATTATTGCATCAACCGTCAGCTTTGCAACCACATGGTGGCTCATCACAAGCGTCAAGGACATTTGTCAACAAGACTTGCTTCCCAAAGGTAGCCTGTGGACATGTCCAGGCCATACGGTCTTTTACAATGCTTCGATCATATGGGGAGTCATCGGTCCAGGAAGAATGTTCACAACGAAAGGTGTCTACCCTGAGTTGAACTGGTTCTTCCTCATAGGCCTCCTCTCCCCCGTTCCCGGCTGGTTCCTGTCAAGAAAGTATCCCGAAAAGAAATGGATCAAGAATATCCACATGCCCTTGATTTTTTCAGGGACGAGCGCAGTACCATCGGCAAAAGCCGTGCATTATTGGTCTTGGTTTGTTGTTGGGGTTATATTCAACTATTACGTATTCAGGAGGTTCAAGGAATGGTGGGCAAGACACACCTACATTCTGTCTGCGGCTCTGGACGCAGGCACTGCATTCATGGCTGTAGCCATCTTCTTTGGACTGCAAAACTATAACATTAATATGCCCGATTGGTGGGGACTTGACAGCACTGACCACTGTCCTTTGGCAAGATGTCCAACTGCCAAAGGAGTGGTTGCCGAGGGTTGTCCGGTGTTCTAAGGAATCGAAAGAAAGGTTCTCATGGATCGAAAAGGTTGCTCCAAGTTTCGAGCCATGAAGGTATGATTGGTTACTCTCCTCTTCTTACAAGCTCTACACAAATCTGAGACGTTTTATTGCTGGTTAATTTAAATGCTTGATAATAATAACGCTTTGAACATTATCATTAAGAAGTGATTGATTCACATGTAATGTAATTAGAGTATTTGTTTTCACTCGTTGTTTAAATACATAGTTTCCAACTTACGCTGATTAGTAAAAAGAAACGCTGACATGATTTGGCATGTAATTCAGATATTGGTTCAAAATACCAACCAACATCGTAGGGTGCCTATCTTTATCCTTTGCTAAAGCCTAGAGCTCTTTGTTGTCTAACTAAAAACAAAACAGCAAAGATGAGAAAAATTAGAAGCTAGAACACAGCAATATAGTCACAAGAAACCACGACACTTCAATGTAAGGAAACCACAAAGCTCAAGATCATCAAACCTTTCGTTCATGCGGAAGTAAACGTATCTGACGGTGCTGAAGGTTGTCTTTTGTTCTCACAATGCTGTAAATACTATCTTTAAGAAGTGGTTGATTCATAGACAATGTAAATAATAGATTTTGCTTCAGTCCCTGAAAACCTAGCATGGGAGTGTGGCATAGAATTAACGTCAAAAGCTAGAGTAGAATCTATCAGAAGGTCAATGTATTGCGGAGAACATTGGAGAACATTTGCAAAAATAAGAAACATGAAAGCATGTGAATAGATTAGGCTCTCAATTTCAATTTCCTCCCATCTAAATTTCAAGTTCTTATGCTTTGTTTGTGTGGCAGCACAATACTTGAACAAGATTCCAAGTATTGCAAAGAACAAACTCTAAAAACTTGTGTTGTCGAAGACGATGAAAAGCAAAAGTCTATAAATAGCTAAGCCCATCTTCAGTTGAAAAGTTCAGGTTTGAGCCAGTCCCTACAATTAAGTCACATAATTACTTTTCGAGTATCCAAAACAGAAATGAACATCTCGAACACTATGGATGCCTGTTTCTGATTCCGAGTGTACAGTACAATGTTGTCTCACTTACTTGGTGGTGTTGTCAAGGTGATCACCGAATCTGTGACGTCCTTCCATTACTACTCCTACCAATCTCCAGTGCTTGGAAGCATCCCTTACATAATAGCAAACAGTATGGTCTATTCAAACTGATTGGTACGCCTTTCCATATATCCATAGCATCTGGCTAATCCGAGTTTTCAGAGGATCTTAAGATATAATCCAGAGTTGGTTGCATTAAACAGAAGGTGTCACCGGGATAGCAGTTCAAAATACTAACCTGCATCACAGGGCTCTAAGAAAGCCACAACACTTTCGAAGAAAGGGGGAATATTCACCAAGAGAATTGAGGCGTGGGGAAAATAGCGAGAAATATGATCATCGATGTTCTTTGCAATGCCACAGAGCTCCAGATCATCAAACCTTTCGTTAGTGAGAAAATATCCGACAACACTCAGACCTTGAGCCACATAATGCTCCTCAATCTAATCCAACCAGACAACAAAATATATAAGCAGACATCAGTTTCGAGATCAAGATCATGCAAAAACAGGACTACTTCTCCAGATTCATGTTCGCAACAGAATGCATTCCTAGTCGCTGATTCCAATTGGAAATTGAGATCTTTATCCTTTCCCTTAAAATACAAACAAAAAAAATCTTTCCCAAAAAACAAGCAGCAGATTCTACATAAGAACAATCAGAGGAAGCACCCATCCGATGCCTTGTCTAGTACTACAAAATGAAACGCCAATACGCAATTCTACGTACATATCAACGCAATTCGATATCGAACCATATAGGGCAGACCGGTTTCAGAAAGACAGAATGTCAGAGGACAAGAAGAAAAACCACAGACCATGATGAGCGAGATCTCGAGAGGAGGCAGGAGAGCGAGGTTGGAGTGGCAAATCGGCACAGAATCCGAGATCTCCACGACGCTTTCGTTCTTAGGGCTGACTCATCCGACGAGAACTCCGTTGACCGCCGCCGTCTTGTGTCGCAGAGCGTGTAGGACAAGCTTGATGTACGCGTTATGCGTGATCTCATACCTCAGCTCGCCGTCGCTTCCAACCCCATCACTGACTCGATCGGAAACTCACTGAGTCAATCCTACGATACGACTCGCCACCGCGCATAGAAGAGAAGATCACGGCAGAGATGCAGAGGAAAACATAGAAGTGTGGATGAGAAGCAAGCTGGTGGTCAATAATCAAGCAAAACTTACACTTAACTACCTCTAGTTTACTTAAATTACATAAAGATCACAAGGGTCAAGATACCTACATTACACCCCTTTTTATATGGCAACTTTCAAAATTACAGAAAACATCACATAGTTAAATATATTCCCACATTGAACCCCTCTATTTTCAAAAAACATAATTTTTTTTCTTGTAGGTGAAAAAAGAAAATTAAAAAAAAAACTATACGATGTTTGCAGAATTTGTGGTTGAGGTTACAGGCTCGGAAATAACTACAGTATCTGCACCGGACTCATCAGCGTCGGATTTGGGTTTGGAAACGACGGCGTTTTGCATGGGAAGGTTCGGCTTGGTCGAGTTTTCGAGGGACTTGACCTGAAGATTGAGCCAAGTGTAGACCGACATTCCGGCGAGAGCCACCACCGCGCCGGATATGCTGACAAAACCAGGGTCCGAGCCGAAGATAACGTAGCCGCCAAGCAAGATCACGCATGTCTTGAACTGTCCTAATACCACATGCGATGTCGCTGACGTTGCCCTGTTCGAATGGAAAATGTATTAATCAGCTTACAGAAGGAAAAGCCCCGGTTAGACCGAGTGACAGTTCTTTCGGTTTGATTCGGTTTTGGATGATTCTGAATCGATCCTGTTCTGTTCCAGTTCTATTTTGTATCTGTTCCATCTGGTTTGGTTTGGTTCTGCGCTGTTTGTTATTGGTTTGGTTTGAAACTGGCTCAGTTGTCCCACATGGTTTTGAGATTGCTTTCAAAATGGAGCATAATTGGAACCGAAAGAAACCGAACTCAAACGGGGTTCTCACCAAACCGACACATCTATTGGTAAAAGGGCAATGAAGAGACTTACCCGAGAGCGAGAGCACCAGACCACTGTAGGAGAAAACCGAGAAGAGCGGAGACAAGAACCGCCGAGGAATTACCAAAGTCCCACTTGAACAGCAAAACTCCAGGAGGATCCAGCCATGGCATGAGAGCCAGTAAGAAGAATACGGTGATTGGTGTTGTCTTCCACATCAACCTACACTCACAAGATGCGAGCACGATTTTCGCAGAAAGAATGCCAGAAAAGTGCTAAGTGTAATTGATTGATTGATGCTTACGCAAGGGCGGTCCAGTTGCCTTGTTGCTGAAGATTCGACCAGAGTATTTTGTTCACGGAACTCGGGATTATCCAAGCAATGGCAACCAATGCGCCGAACAGATTGAACTCTAGATCTGTCACTGTGGCTACAGCCACTCCGATCGATACCACGGCCAGAGCCATTACCTGCCGAGGAAAACGCTAAGACAGATTAAGCATACGAGAAAGATAAAGGACGATACTTTGGCATGAAAAACGGCCAGAGACCTTCTCGGAGGAAATCGTTTTCCTCAAAAGAATGAATTCTGCAAAGACGATGGTGGGCGTGACTGCGATTTTAGCCATCTGGTAGAACCCGACGCTGGAAAAATGGAAACATCAAGAATGTCACAGTCATCAACTATCGAAAACGGTGTCCAACCTATGAACCCGGATTCAGTTTTTCTACAGGTTGTTGTATTTGCAGATTCAACCTTAAAGCAGAAGGAAAAAAGACAATGGAAACCTGTTGTGTTGGAGGCTGGTGTTGGCAAGACCAGAGGCAAACGCCATGACAGCTCCAAGAGAAAAGATCGAGGAGAAAGGCGTAGTCTTGGAGGGGGGAGACACTGGAAGCAACGAGAGAGTTTTGAAGAAAGCAAGGAGAACCCAAGCTATGGAGTAGTGAATCAATGTCAGAAAGATCGGGAAATTAAACCCTACTCTCCCCATCACCTGCAGAAAAGCTTACGCATTAAGAAATGGAAGCCATGGATTCGGACGATGAGAATCTTGCAGAGATTAATCGAGAATTATTGAAAAGAAATACCAGTTTATTGGTGAGGATGATTCCGACAGCGACCATGAAATTGAAGGACATTGATACGAAGGGGCCGCAAAACCGCTGCTGCTGACGCTTTGCTCCTTCAGATGTCTTGAGCTCATTGTAGAGAGAGCTCCTGAGTTCCTCCAATGCCCTTCCTGCAACATGGGAACTCAACGACAAGGAACCCTAAAAGATCCGATCCTTATTTTTCCCGGAACACAAACTCATGGATTCATCGAACACGTCACGATGATAAAACAGAGACATAACCAGGCCCAGATTATCACAACCCGATTCCTCGAATAACCAGATAAAGATCCTTCGAACAGAATCAAGAACATCAACAATGTGAAACAAAAAGGCGTCGTTTTTGTTATTGAGGGGGGGAAAAAGGCATGATTTTTAAGGGGAAATTTCAGATAAATAAGCAAAATCGATGAGAAAGCTCGCAGTTTCCACGAAGAACAAATAATCACACACCTGTTTCTGCAGCGTCGCTATCTTTCCGTTTGAGAAATTTTCGTGCATCTCTTCCAAGCAATGATTCAATCAAAGCCATATTGATTAAAAACAAAAAAAAACCTTCAAAATCTGAAATGCGCCATTAATGAATCTGATCTTTGCAGCAAATCCCAGATTACATCCATTTTCTTACGAAACCCACAAAAAAAAAGATATATCTGAAATGATAGATACGAGAAACAATCTCTCGCAGAAAAAAAATTGGAGCCGATGTCTGGTTCGTATAAAAGACAGAGCCTTTATTAAAAAAAAAAGAAAAAAAAAAGGAGCAGTTGCTTCAATATGCAGAGAGCCCCCTGCGTAATTTGAAGGAAAAGAAAAAAATCTTTACAATATATGTTGCTGCCACGTGTCGATGCGATATTTTATTTGCCAGATATCCAAATATCATATATACTTACAAAAAACAACTGTTAAATCAGAAACCAAATCTTTTGAAAATAAAACAAGGAGTATCCAAACAGATTAAATGTTATAAAATAATAACAAAATGAATTGAAACAGATTGTTAAAATTTAATTTACAAACACCTGCTCTAAAGTTGTATCTTTTTAATCAAAACAGTTTATAAGTATATTGATAAACAAATATATATATATATATATATATATATTTACAAACCCGTCAAAAATCAAAATTTAAAGGGTAAAACCTTAAAAAACCTCCAACTTGCAAAAATATATACAAATAAATATTCAAATTGAAAAAATGTCATTCAATACCCGAATTTATAACTTGTCACTAAATAAAACCTTGAACTTGCAAATTATTACTTTAATAAACTTTTGACCGATTTGACCACAATTTCAGACGATCGAAAATCCACATATTAACGGATTTGTAATGTCACCTTATACACGTTATCAATTTTAATTTAAAAAATGACATCAGCAATCCGTCAATATGTAGATTTCCGATCGTTTGAAGTTGTGGTCAAACCGGTCAAGGTTTATTAGAACAATAATTTGCAAGTTCGAGGTTTTATTCATTGACAAGTTACAAGTTCGGTGATTGAATGACAGTTTTTCAAGTTGAAGGTTTATTTGTATATATTTTTGCAAGTCGGAGGTTTTTTAGGGGTTTTACCCAAATTTAAATATACAAATAAATTACTCCGTGCGTGTGTCAAATGCATGGGACGACGTGTTGGAGTGTTTGGCGATGAATTTCCGGAGACGTAAAGCTAATATGATTTTGATTTTGGTGAAATCAACTCAAGTGCCTTTGTATCTAACAATTTTTTATATAAAAATAATAATTAGAATTATATATATTTATATATATGTACATCAACTGTACGTCCGTAATAGGACTCTCACCTCGGAGATTGTGCCGTATCTTTTTCTGTTAAACGTGAAAAAATTATTTTTGGTAATCGAAAGAAAATAATAATATTATCTTAGCATATGAAGGGTTTTTTTTTTGCATGAACCGGTTGATGTTACTTGTACATATAAATAATATAATGTGTGTATAATTTTAATTTTAATTTTATCCCATTCAAATGTTTCTAATTCTAAAATTAACAGTATCAATGTGTCATTTGGTATAGTTCTATTTAATTTGGGTATTTTCGGTCTAGTTTGGTTAAGATTATTGCATTTTATTTATTATGTTTCATTTTATCTCGCTGCATTTAAGGAATTTGGTTAAAGATTTGCTCAAATCTATCTGTTTTCTCTCTCTATAATTTTAATAAGATATCGTTAGTAAAATTATATTTTGGATAATCAAGATGTATTGGGAGGATGTGATACTCAATATTTGCATGGCTGCCAACGACCGGAATATGAAATGAAGGAAAAACTATATGTGTTGTTTGAGTTCTATACACTTTAATTTTAAGATCGGGGTTCGAATCGTCTTTATCCTCATCATCTTTATATGCAATCTAAATCGATTTTTATTTTTCGTGTAGTTTTTTTTATTAAAAATATTTTTCGTGTAGTTTGTAGATTATTATACGAGATCGGAGTTTAATCAATGCACATTCTAAAAGGCAGTGATTTCGAATTCCCACATTATTAAAAAAAATGGAATATGAAATAGTTTAACAAGTATAGCGATCCAACTTCAAAGGTACGCATACGCTTTCTCCCGGGAATAAAATGCTTTTATTCCAAGTTTCAACAACCAATTAAGCTGCCGAGCCACGTCACTATCTCGTTCATACAATATGTATATATATATATATATATAAGTACTCAATCATAAAAATGCAATGCCATGGACCCACCTCCTAAATTCTTTCTTTGTTATCGTACAACCGGACAGGACCGTGTTTGGTTAGCTTTGGCGATTTACGTCTTTTTATGTGAAACTATGAGTCGCATTTATTAGGGAATTTATATTTTCCAGTGCCGAAAGCTAACTTCTCTGTGTCATTTGTTGCCGATCGCATTAGGCCCATGTGTTTGCCATTTATATATATTTATATATATATTATTACATTTTTCACCTACAAAATGTTTTTCACTTAAAACAAATATCCGGTATAATCAAATAAGCCACATCTTATATACAGAGCCGTCTCAATGATTTTAAGGATTTTGTGCAGAATATTATTTAAATTTTAAATTTTATATGATAAAAATTTTAAAGTTAAATTTTAAATTTTAAATTATATTAGATAGTAATATATGTAAATAATATTTAGTTCTCTTTAATATTTACGACATTATTGAATATTGTTATATTTATATTTTATTTAAGATTAGACAAAAAATATATATAATTTAAATTTTTATTTTTATTAGTAATAAAATTTAAAATAAATCAAGTAAATAATTTAAAGTTTTATTAGATTAATATTTTATTATAATTATAATTAAATGATATATATTTTATATTTTTGAAGATTTGTATTTATTTATTACATAATTTAATTATATATAATATTTTTTATAATAAATAAATAAAAATTTGAGGCCCTCAAATTTTAGGGGTCATGTACGATAGTATCGAATTGTACCGTCTATTAGACGGTCCTGATTATATACATATTCCATATCTATCATTACGATATTCATGAAGTTTGATATAGTATATGTATAGGTCTAAAAGTTTAGTATTAAAATCTCCATAGATTTTAAAACGTTGAGATCATTAAATAATAAAAAAAAGAGAATATATATGTATGTATATGTATTTATATGTATGTATGTATGTATATTTGTATAATCGTTTTTACTATCATTTTAGTATTTTTATTAATTTTAAAATTAATATATCAATTCAATTTTTTTATAAGATTTACATTTATTTGGATAAAATATTTATATTTTACTGATTGATTATTGTCTTTGAATTTTGGGCCTGATGATCTGGCCCAAACGAATCCGGTTCAACGATGCTACCGAGGACCGGCCTGGCTTGCTAGTTCGCTATGCTTCTACTCGTCCAATGCTACGTATGATCACAGGAATAAATAATTCAATTATTAGTTATACACAATCTTAGTTATATATAACCATTTCTATATTGTAAATAAATACAATAAATTTGTTGAATATGAGTATTTCCAAATAAATATCAAAATATGAGAATTAAAAGATTTTTGGATAATTTTTGCTATCATTAACTAACGCAAACACGATCATATAATATTTGCCATTGACCAAATATATAACGGAAAATACATAGAAGTGGTCTTACCTCCCAAATGAGATTATAAATATTCTTAAATCATTTAAGACTAATCAATCGACGCAAACAAGTCTTTACTATTTCAAGAACAATCAAGAAGTCCATTGATTGTTATGCCAAGAACTGTGACGTCATGCGTGGAAATGTCAAAGCCACGTGGCGCACTGTGATAGTGACACGTTAAATTTGTCAAAGTTGGCTTAGTAATAATTTTTATTTTGGGTTTCCAGTTTTTTAGTTTTTGATTTTTGGTTTTTAGATTTTATAAATTTGTAAATCTAAAAAATAACTTTTATTTTGAGTTTTTGTATTGAATTTTTTTATTCTATAATATTTGAAAACTAAAAAAATAGTTCTTGGTTTTTTATTTATTTATTTTACTAAAATGACTTTCTAAATGTTTTAAAAAAGTAATTTTATAAAAACTTGAATGATAGTTTTTTTTTATTTTTAAATTTTAAAAAAACCCCAAAACTCTAACTATTTAAAGTTGGTTTTAGTTGATTTTTTTTTATAAAGCAGATTTTCGAGTTTTTAAGAAAACAAATTTTAAAAACATTGCCAATTTTTTTTTTTAATTTTTAAAATCCAAAAAAACTCTTCCCCATACAAGCCCTCCTTCTTAGGAGTTATAGAAGATTCCGCGATGGACTATCAAATTGTATGCGCAAAAAGATATTATACATATATATTGGACGAATCTAGATTTATAGGAACAAATGTCATTAAAAAGAAATTCAATTATTACATTAATTTGTATAAATAGGTGGTCAAAGGCTTTTCTTTTTTGCATTCCAATTTCCAATGTGGCCGGCTATTGAAGACCCAAACCAATTCTTATTTTGGCATTTGAAATTAACACTATCTATATTACGTAAAGAACACGGAAAAGGGTAATATTTTACGAATATTGCAATATATTATCTATATTCTCAAATCTTATTTAATTTGGTTGAGGTTTTGAATTAAATCCAATATCTCGTATCTCTAAAATATTAGTTTATTGCTACATGCATACGTACGTACGCATAATGAAATCCAGAATTTAAAATTTTTTTTACCACGTGGTCTTAATCAACAACAAAATCTCTTATTAGAGATATAATTCAAACTTAAACCCACGCATATATGCACCCAAAACAAAAATCCCTCATGAGAGTTCGATTCTGCCACAAACAACCAAAGATTCGCTATAACCTTTTTACCATTTGCATATTAATGGACGTACCATTAATATCATATAATTGATTTGATTTTATATAAAAAAATGGTTTGTTTAATAAGAAAATATGCCTTCTTAAAAACCAATTACATCGCAGTCAAGTCAAGTGACGGCGCTAACTAGATGTTCTTCTTATCCTTCTATTATTGGAATAAATAAATATATATATATATATATAATAATTTATCAATAAATAGAGAACACTAACAATTACGTAACAAAAGAAACATATCTGGCCTTGTCCTGAATAATTGAGGGTTTTTTGCGGTTGAAGCAGCAGTAACTGTCTTGCAAGACAAAATCCCAGGTGTTGGGTTAGGCCAACGGTTACCTTCTCTCTCTCTCTCTCTGCGTCTGATTCTTGTAATCAAAGCAAGAAGAAGAAGATTAAAAAAAAAGTTTTTTTTTCTTTGTTTGAAGAAATCGTTTTTATGGTTTGATTCTTGGTCGCCATCTCTCGCCCAACTTCACCTTCCTCTGAAATCCTCACGGCGCCCTCTCTTCTTCTTAAGCCCATCTTTCTGGATCTTATCTTCTTGTATTGGAACGTGTTTCTTCTGGGTTTTGAGTTCATAACAAAGAGAATCCATGAGCACCCTTCTCCGTGTTCTTTAATTATCTTCCTCTGTTTCGTTACTCTGTTCCTAGGTTGTGTTCCTGCTGTTTCAGGCTACCGTCAGTTCAGCTTTCAGCTTTCTGGAGATACTTTTGGTTTCTCTCTTTTGGGCACTGGTGATTTTTTTTGTTCCTATGATCGATTTTTTTTCTCTCGTTTCCTCTTGTTGAAACGTAAATTTGGGATATTGAGGAGCTTGAGTACGGAGTCAAGGTGGAATTTCGGCTGGTGATTACAAGGTGTTTGTTCATATGCCTCACTGAATTTTCATGAGTTATTGTTAAGACATGAGAATTTCGTGACTTTAGTCACGGCCTGCGTGTTTACATGATTTCCCTTTTGATGTGTACTTCTGGTTCCATGTGCATGCTTATACTCATAAAGCTTGAAGCATTGTTTTGATTCTCTGTATCAATCCTTTCCTCTTTTTTTTTTTTCCTGCTAAGGCCCAAGAGAAATCAAATTCTCTGGTTTTGGAAGTTTATTGGAGTTTGAAGCTTTGAATTCCGATGAATACCCGTCATTCCGTTCTGCCGGATTCCTCATCCAGCATATCGATCACTGTTTCATCGTCACTTTCATTGAATTCCACGCCACGGAATGATGACACACGCATGTCAGGGCGAGAGAGGCCTCCTCCCTCGTTCTTGATTCGAATGGCGATGAAGGTATCGAGAGCAAGGTGGTTTATCTTCTCGAGGAGAGTGTTTCACTACCAGAACGGGTCGAGACCTGACCTCGGGTCCAATCCTTTCGATTCCAGCACTTGGATGACGACGGAGCTCATTGCTCTGGTCATTCAGATCACCTTGATCACATTCACTCTGGCTGTGTCCAACAAGGAAAGACCCATTTGGCCAGTGAGGCTATGGATCACTGGTTACGACGTGGGTTGTCTCCTCAATCTCATGCTGTTGTACGGACATTACCGTCAAAGGGCAGGGTTTGGAGTTGGTGATGTGGAGCAGCAACGGAGAGACAGGGAGGAGACCAGGTAACTAATCAAAATACAATCTTGTCCAACTGCTATTTCCCATCTATACTTTCAGACATCTCCCCTTCTGTTTCAGGTGCTCGCACTTGATGAACAAATGCCAGAAATCCCTGGAGCTTTTCTTCGCCATATGGTTTGTTACCGGAAATGTCTGGGTGTTTGATTCACGCTTCGGTTCATTCCACCGAGCCCCGAGGCTCCACGTCCTCTGCATATCTCTTCTGGCATGGAATGCACTCTGCTATTCCTTCCCATTCCTCTTGTTCCTCCTCCTCTGTTGTGTCGTGCCTCTCGTCAGTAGCCTCCTCGGCTACAACATGAACATGGGCTCTGCAGACAAGGGAGCTTCGGATGAGCAGATTTCCATTCTCCCAAGCTGGAAATACAAACGAATGGATAACGGTTTCGCTTCCGATCCATCAGTTGACGCCACTGAAGATCCGGTACGTCATCTCTGACATACCAGCTCCCACATACATAGATGGAAGCAGTGGTGATCTGGGCACAAACTAAACTTGAATGAATGAATCTGGGTTTTGGATTTTTTTGCTGCAGGAGTGTTGTATATGTTTGGCTAAGTACAAAGACAAGGAAGAGGTGAGAGAGTTGCCATGTTCGCACAGGTTTCACCTCAAATGCGTAGACCAATGGCTTCGTATAATCTCCTGTTGTCCTCTCTGCAAACAAGATCTCACCCCCCGACATAACTAATCCTTCATCAAGACACCACCACATTACTTTGGTCTCTCTCTTTTTTTTTTTTTTCCTGTAAGATTTTCTGAATGAAACTAGAGATGATGAGAAAGAAGCCTACACGTATGTATGGTTACTTTCTTTTTTTGTACAGAACGGGTTAAAAACGTTAACCAGAGGTTAGGGAACCACGTCAGCATACGCTTCTACCCTAATTTTAACTTCACGACGATCCTCTCTAAAGAAACGTTACTTGTCTCACAAGTTACATAGGTAAAAGGCCCCCCTTTTTTTATGTTGGTCACATTCTCCACCGAAAACCCTACGGAGAGTCATGCTTTAACCCTAGCGGCCCAAGAAACTTGCCCTACAAGAAACGCAATTTGATTAATAGTAATCCAATAACCAAAATGATCCGAATCGAATAATATGTATCTGTAATTAAATTGAATTTGATATAAAAATCGAAAATCGAATGTTCATGATTTCTTTAAAATCGAAAAATGGAGTTCTGACCAAAACGAATAAAAAGATAACAATTTTAAAAAATATATTTTTTTAAAATAAATATCTTTATCAATAAAAACCAAAATAAATGGAAAAGAACCGAACCAGATAATAATGAATTCAATATAAAAACGAACCATTATAAATTTTCTCAAAGCAAAATGACGGAATCATTAGAATTCATTGTATGTAAGATGTGATATTTGGTTTTAGTTTTCTGTGATGCATGATGTTTGTCGATAACACCGTGTTAATAAATAAGTCTAGAGAAAGAGTAAATGAACAATAGAGTTATGGAGGAGTATTTAGAGGTTAAGGGTTTTAGACTTAATAGGAAGAAGACCGAGTATATGCATTGCGATTTTAGTGGGGACGTTCTAGTGATGTAGGAGTTAATTTACAAGGAGGAATATTACTTCAAAACCCACATTTTAAATATCTTGATTCAATCCTTCAAAAGCATGGAGGTTGCGACGAATATATTAGTTATAGGATAAAAGTGGGATAGATAAAATGGAGACAAGTCACAGATCCTTTGCGATCGCAAAATCCCTATACGGTTGAAAGAGAAATTCTATCGTACTACTATAAGATCCGCATTAATGTATAATAGTGAGTGTTGGGTGGCGAAATGACAACATGTGTCCAAAATGTGCATGGCTGAGATGAAAATATTGCGATGGATGTGTGAACATATACGAATAGACCAAATTCGAAATGAGAGTATTAGGGAGAAATTAGGAGTTATAACCATATAAGAGAAAATATGTAAGGGACGTTGAAGGTGGTTTGGGCACGTAAAACATAGACCGCTAGATGATCCGGTTAAAAATGGAAATGAAGAAACGAGGTAGAGGTAGGTCAAGACTTACCTGAGAACGAGTTATTAGAAATGACTTGGATATGTTGCAAATATTGGAGAATATGATGCAAAAGCGAAATGAATGGAAAAGAAAAATTCATGTGGTCGATCCTAAATAAATTTGGGATGAAGGCGTTGTTGATATTGTTGTTGCAAAATGACGGAATCAAAACTGAATAACCTGTCGTGTTGCGGTCCTAGCACGTGGCGGATCCGATACATCAAAACGGGTCGGTTCAGTGATTTTGTCAAGGTCCAATATTCCCAGTTCGGTTTTGTGGATAAAACATAAAGGTAGGGGTGTCAATCGGGTCGGCCCGAAAGTTTCGGGCTCGGGCTTGGACTGACCAGATTTTTTCGGGCCTATATAATTAAGTTCGAAGCCCGGTCCTATGCATTCCGGACTCGGGTCGGGTCGAACTAGGTCGGACCGGCCCACAGACCTTCCTTTGTAAATGTTATTTTTTTTATATATATTTTTGGGTTTTCGGGCCGGCTCGACTCGAATCCGAAGCCCGATTTGAGCTCGGCCCGAAACCCGCTAATTTTTGGGCTGGGCCGGATCGGACTTCGGCCTCGGACCCAAATTGACACCCTTACATAAAGGTATTGGTGTATATGTTCGGTTTAAACGGCAAATGAACGTAGTGTTTAAGAATAATTAATTACTGTTGAAGAAATAAAATGTTGTGTGACATTTTGAATGTAGTTTGAGATGGACGTGATGCCATAATTCTCGTGATTAGTCACCAATAATCTGATTCTGTGGGACCATTAAATCTTTCTTAAATAAAAAAGATCCAATAATTGTAACCAAACCTCGTTTTGGACACGTAGGCATATAAATCGACAACGTATTTGAAAACCAAAACGGCGTCGTAGGCATAAATCAACAGGATTAAAACGACAACGTATTTGGAAACCAAAACGGCGTCGTAGGAAATAACGCATCATAATTGACTGCACGATGTTTGATATAAGATAAAACACGTCCCTTTTTCGACACACTTTCCGGGCTTCCAACTGTATCAACATTGTGTTTGTGTAATTCCATATTTGTTTATTTTTTAAAAAAAAATTGTTAAATGCCAATAAATATTAATTCGATTATTGAGATTTTTCCGGGGGTTTTTTTTGGTCGAGCATATACAATTCTCTCTCCTTCGTCGCTTACCGATCAGTCTCGCGTCTCCACCGCAAGCTTCATCCGAGACTCCGCCGGAGCCGTCGCGAAGAGGGCTCGACGTCGGCCGTGGCGTAAGCCTTTTTCTCTCCCTCTCTCGTAAATTTTCCGTCCTGTTTGCTGTTCGTGCGTTTCCCCCCAAGAAAATCTAGATGAAAAGCGATTTTGAGATCGAGGGATTAGACAATAATTGATCTGTCGAATTCGTTGGATTTTCTTAGCAGCCACGCTGATCCTTTTTTTGCCTTTGCGTTATACAACGAGGCTCTTGTGTTGCTGGATTGCCTTTGATGTAGTTTGTGAATTCGGCCGATTTCGAATCTGAATCTATGGATTGGTCTTTGTATGCGCCGTGATTTCACAGTTCGCTTCGTGCCCGTGTATGTTTTTAGATCCGATTCGTGTGTGCTGAGTTTTACGACATGGTTCGATCCGTTTGTTTTGTGTTTTGACAGTTGAACTCGTCTGGATTGTTTCTTCTCTTTCTCATGATGTTTCTCCTGCGTTCAATTGCACTTATCGATTCTTCAATTGCCTAAAGTTTGATGCTTTTGGGATTTCTTTGTGAGATTTGGTTTCTTTTTGCTTGCTCAGTCCAACCTACCCCACTAGTGTCCTAAATCAACGATTGTTAACACAATGCGCATATCACAAATCAGGTGTATATATGCGAGATCTTGGTCGAGAAGAAAAAGGCATTGTTAACCTGGAAGAAATTGGACTCTAGATTGTAGAGTCATACAATTCATTTAATTGAGTGTGTATTTTGGTACTCTTTACAAAGTGATTAGTTGATGTGGCTTTAATGATCAGTTCGACAGAAGTGGATTTGCTCTGTCTGTTTACGATGCATTTGAACATCAGGGCTCTTGTCTGAATTTCTTTATCTTGCTTTTGAAGCCCTGTGTCACCATTATCTGCTGTTGCAAGCTATAAGTTAAGTGATCTTGTCCCACAGATATTCTTAAGGACGATCGGGTTTTACTTGCTGCTGCCTTTACTGACGAAACAGGAAATGGTTAAAAGGTATATAGTATATACCTTTCTCGATGTAAATATGTATTATGTTTCGTAGAGTTTTTGCCCTGATGCTACTTCTTTCCATTTTCTCATTTACAGGCATGGAGAGTTCTGATTCACTAGAGATATCATGTCGCAGTGCATAGACGGTTTCAAGCATATATTCACCTCCTTCTTAAGATGTTTCGATATCGATTTATACAAGCAATCAGGAGGCCTGGGAGACCCTGAATTGCTTGCAAGAGAGACAGTTTGTATGTTGTCGTTTATGTTGTTAGTACGAGCTTTTCAATCTTTTACTAATGGGACATTTCTGATGTTGCAACTGATTTCAGCTTCTTCACTGTGTTTTGGTTCAGTTATATTATTCTAGGGTATGACATTCTTGTAGCCGATGCCAGACTTGATTGTTTCTTACTGACTTTATTAATTTGCTCGGTTGCAGTTAGTGTGAGCGAAATTGAAGCTCTTTACGAGCTTTTTAAGAAAATTAGCAGCGCTGTGATTGACGATGGCTTGATAAACAAGGTATGATTCATTCAATCTTTCCCATTTTATGTGCTTATGAACTCATCGTGCTAATCATTTTGTTGCTCGAGTTATTGCACGCCGTCACATCTTATAGGCGTAACCTGTCTGATTTGTCTCGCCTCTTGTTTTTTCTTCTTATACCCCATAGGAAGAGTTTCAGTTGGCCTTATTCAAAACGAATAAAAAGGAGAGCTTGTTTGCAGATCGGGTACTTACCTCTACATCAAAAGTGGTTTTCGTTCATTTTCTAGAGATCCAAATGCATAAAAGTGAGTGAGAGAGCCTTGATGGTGATTGATTTTTTTGCAGGTGTTTGACTTGTTTGACACAAAGCACAATGGGATACTGGGGTTTGAGGAGTTTGCTCGTGCTCTCTCCGTGTTTCACCCGAATGCACCTATGGATGATAAGATCGACTGTATATTCCCCCAACTCACTTATCCTCGAAAACTTGGATCCAGAAATGAAAAGTATAAAAAATGGAATGATTTTCGTAAAATACTGTTTGTGGTTGCAGTTTCATTTCAGCTATATGATCTGAAGCAGCAAGGGTTCATAGAGAGGCAGGAGGTGAAGCAAATGGTGGTGGCTACACTTGCAGAGTCCGGAATGAACCTCTCTGATGAAGTCATAGAGAGTATTATCGACAAGGTTGGTGCCTTTTTCAAATCATATATAGCTGTGATTTTCTGATTGATGAAGAGACGGGTACGAAAAAAAATCGATTATAATAACGTCGTTGTTGTTGATGAGAATGTGGCAGACGTTTGAGGAGGCGGACACGAAACATGACGGGAGGATAGACAAGGAAGAGTGGAGAAGCCTTGTTATCCGCCACCCCTCCCTTCTCAAGAACATGACTCTCCAGTATCTAAAGTGAGTTCCAAATTCAAAACCCCCCTTTTTAGTGGTTGAGATTATGAAAGGGCCATCCATCCATCCACCCTGATTGGATTGTCTGTTTGGCTGCAGGGATATCACGACCACGTTTCCGAGCTTTGTGTTCCATTCTCAGGTTGAGGACACCTGATTCAGTCAGAAGAGGTTTCTTCTCTTCTTTTTTTAAGGTTGCTCCCCTTGCCCTGAAGCGGTTCTTTCAAAAAAAAAATCTCTCTTTTTTTTTTTGGTTGAAGATTATTGTTTGCCTTTTTTAACAATTTGATTCGATGTTTACTTATTTGTTTTAATTGCACACCTTGCCAAAAAAAAATCTCTCTTTGGTTGTGTTGTATGTGCTCCACTCCGAATCTTTTGCCAATGTGTTCCAAAGAAAAAGTCAGCTTGGTTCTGTGAGCAAATCTCAGACTGAGTAGTACTGTAGTAGTAACATTAACATGGATGAGGGGTGGACATTTCAGGTTTCGGTTCGGTATTCAAGTGGAACATTATTTTTGGTTTTATAAAAGTGTATCAAACTAGAACCAAATGTTAAATGGTTCGGTTCAATCTTAGTATAGGTTCGATGTGGAACGGTGCCATTATATGAATACCAAATAAGTACCACCAAACTATAACAGTTATACATATTTGTGGAAGATTCAAATTTTGATTCAGTATTTATACGGTTCGGTTTGGTATTCATATGGACGGTTTGAGAACGATTCATTCGGATCCATAAAAAATGTACTAAATTAAAATCGAATATTATTCAATTTGATTTGATTCGGTTCGGTTTTGGATCGGAATTATATTTTCGAAGTGCCCACTGAAATTGAAAGGATGCCATCGTGTTTTTTTGGTCAAAGTTTCAAACCACGAGACAAAAAGATCGCAATTGTGGCATCAATCACCAGTTATGACAAAGCAGTGAATAAATAAACTGAGAATGAAGGCCAACAAACAGCAACAACGACTAGCTACCGGAAAGCTAAGATTCCAATCAGCTCTAATGTAAGAACAATAAAAGTCATTGCTTCAAATTAAAAACAAAACAAAAAAACAAAACAGAAACCCACAAGTTTGTTTGATACGTGATTTTTTTTTTTGAAAAGAGAAAACTTAGTCGACTTCCTCCATCTTGCTTCCGTCGGCCTCAGCGTCATCTTCAAGCGGAGGCATGTCGTCGGCCTCAGTCTCACCCGCTTCATCATCAATACTCAGTCCGAGTTTCAACATCCTATGGATCCTGCTCCCGAACGTGTTCGGGTCGTCCAGGCTGAATCCCGACGTCAGAAGCGCCGTCTCAAACAGCAGATGCACGAGATCCTTCACCGACTTATCGTTCTTATCCTCATCGGCTCTCTTCCTCAGCTCGTCCATTATCGGATTCTCCGGGTTAATCTCCATAGTCTTCTTGCTCGACATGTACCCCGCCATGCTGCTATCCCTCAGCGCCTGTGCCTTCATTATCCTCTCCATGTTGGCCGTCCATCCATACTCTCCCGTCACCAGACAGCAGGGGGAATCCACCACACGATCCGACACAACCACTTTCTCGACCTTGTCCCCCAGCACATCCTTTATTACCTTGCACAGACCCTCGAACTTCTCCTTCAGTTCCTCCTTCCTCTTCTTCTCGTCCTCTGACTCGTCCAGTTTCAGCCCCTCCTTTGTGGCAGAGACGAGTTTCTTCCCCTCGAATTCCTTCAGCTGCCCGACCGCATACTCATCAATGGCGTCGACCATGTACAGGACTTCATATCCCTTCTTCTTCAGCTTCTCGAGGAAAGGGGAGTTCTCCACGGCCTTTTTGCTCTCGCCCGTGATGTAGTAAATGTCCTGTTGCCCTTCCTTCATTCTCGTCACGTAATCCTTGAGACTCGTCAGCTCGTCTCCGCTCTTTGTGGAGTGGTATCGGAGCAACTCAGCAATCTTTGTCCTGTTCTGGGAATCCTCGTGGATACCAAGCTTGAGGTTCTTGGAGAACGCCTCGTAGAACTTGTTGTAGTCTTCCTTGTTCTCGGCTATCTCGAAGAAGAGCTCAATGCATTTCTTCACCAGGTTCTTCCGGATGACCTTGAGGATCTTGTTCTGCTGCAGCATTTCTCTTGAGATGTTGAGAGGCAAGTCCTCAGAATCGACGATACCCTTCACAAAGCCGAGGAATTCTGGAATGATTTCTTCACAGTTGTCCATGATGAAGACACGTCGGACATAGAGCTTGATGTTGTTGGGTTTCTTCCTCGTGTCGAAAAGATCGAATGGGGCTCTCTTTGGGACAAAGAGGATAGCCTTGAATTCGAGCTGTCCTTCAACCGAGAAATGCTTGACAGCCAAATGCTCTTCCCAGTCATTGGAGAGGCTCTTGTAGAAGGCGGCATATTCCTCCTTGGTGATCTCCTCGGATTTCCTCATCCAGATTGGCTTCTGCTTGTTCTCAAGAGACCATTCATGAGAAACCTCCTTGATCTTCTTCTTTTTCTTCTCGTCCTTTTCTTTCTCCTCGTCTACCTCCTCGACCTTCCCTTCCTCATCCTTCTTCTCTTCCTCATCATCTTCATCATCAGATATCTCCTTCTCAATTGTCTTCTCAACCCACAGAGAGATCGGGTAGCTAATGAATTCGGAATGCTTCTTGATCAAATCCTTGAGCCGGCGCTCCTCAAGGTACTCTAACTGGTCTTCCTTGAGGTGGAGAATCATCTTGGTCCCCCTACCAAGGCTCTCACCAGAAGTGTCTCTGGTCACTGTGAAGGATCCACCGGCTTGGGACTCCCAGACATATTGCTCATCATCATTGTGTTTTGTCGTGACGACAACCTTCTCAGCAACCAGGTAAGCGGAGTAGAAACCGACACCAAACTGCCCAATCATGCTCACATCAGCACCAGCAGCCAATGCCTCCATGAATTCCTTGGTACCAGACCTGGCAATCGTACCAAGGTTGTTAACCAAATCTGTAAAAGACAACAACAGAACGTTAGGGAACAGTTCATACCAAACAATCGGACAGAGACAAGCGGAGGGATTTTGTCCCACTACGCCATCAAACACTTACCAGCTTTGGTCATTCCAATACCACTGTCAATAATAGTCAAGGTGTTGTTGGCCTTGTCAGGGATGATGTGAATGAAGAGTTCAGGCTGAGCATCTAGTTTACTCTTGTCTGTCAAAGACTCGAATCTAATCTTGTCCAGAGCCTGTTCACAAGAAATGACGACTATTTACTTAGTCACAAATAAATACCACGCCAAACGAACAGATTCAAGGCTACGAAACCTCAAACAAAAACAACAACAAAAAATCGATACTTTGATTGTTGGAATATTGCGAGTTACACTACGTAAAGTATCTAATGGCTCCCACTCCTAGCCTTCGCAAAATAACTATCAGCTACAAGTTTCTCGTGAAAATTGACATAACAGATGTGAACAGTACGGAGAGAATGACGAGAACATCAGCTACAGATCCGTAGCTCACCCAGCCAATGCAATTACTCTCGAACCATTAAACAGTAACCCTAATAAGCAGCAATCGGCATTTCCTCACAATCACAGCAGAATAAACAGACAAACATATTGACAGATCCGAGCAAAATATTTCAAATGTGACATACGCTCTAATACACACAGAGATAGAGAAAGGGGGGTATACGAACATCGGAAGCGTTACTGATGAGTTCACGGAGAAAGATCTCTTTGTTGCTGTAAAAGGTGTTGGTGATAAGACTGAGCAACTGGTTGATCTCGGCCTGGAAGGCAAACGTCTCTGTGTCCGCCATCTCCGAACCACAACGATCACTAAGGTAACGGAAGAAGGGAGAAGCAGATCGAGACAAGCGAGCTAGGGTTTTATGCTCTTTCAAAGCAGAGAACGAGATGGCCGAAGGAGAAGAAATGAAGGTAATATAGTGGGCGCCCTAGGGTTTCTAGATCCTTCTATAATAGTGGAAATGCAAATGTCACGCGCCAAGGAGCGCGTGTCATCTCAATCAAAGCAAACGGTGGGTCCCACCGTTCATCCAAACCGCGAATCATCTTAGAACAGAAGAAGGTGTCAAAACTAATTCAGCTCGCGAATTGATTCGTCCTCACTTCGTTCATTTTTCAGTCAATAGAGAATCGATATTTTCAAATTTCATTCGTAAATGAGACTATCTAGTCGTTGAGGTATTTTTTAATTATTTTTTTATATTTTAATTTTTATACAAAATAATATTTAAATTTATATTTAAATTTGATATTTTAATATCAACTTTTTTATTAAAATATCATTTTTTTTATTATTTTCTAATATAAATTTTTAAGTCGATTTACTTGATATATAAAATAGTTAAGTGGAAATGAAACAATGGTTTTTGTTTCTCATTTAGAAACGAATCTAATGAGTTGAGATCAAAACGAGTCAATTTGTTTCGGTCCAAGACGAGTTGGATCATTTGTCAAACTCTCTCTTTTTATTCATTTGATTGTCAAAGTCATCATACATCAAACTTTGCCATTGTCATAGAAGAAACCCATGAATTTAAAGCTCTCGTCGTTTAGGGATGACACAGAAATTTCGGTATTCGATCTTGGTCTCCATGGATTTTCTAGATATATTATCTCGATCTTGATTTTGCGAGGTGACGAGGCCCGAATATCTGTGGTTAAAGTCGGGTAACCGATACGAGGTTATTCAATGACCCAAAATCTCGTTGGGGTCTCGGATAAAAGCTTCACCCCCTACCTACCTCCATTGGGGCGTGTGGACTCATGGGATAAAATTCAAGGTTTGTTCTCTGCTTCGATTTACGAAATGGGCCCTTATCCCATCACAATCAGAAATTGAGCCCTAAATGGGCCTTTATCCAATCTTGGGCTTATAGATTGGGGCCCACCGTTAAGATTTTTTCAAATAATACAGAACAGGGCTAGTGTTTTCGGCATTCGAATTTTGACCCGTTATTAAAACAACACCCCGACTTTACATACATACACACACACATATATATATATATATATTATTCTAAGTTTGGATGCTTTATTTTGATAGATTAATCCAAATATATCCATAAATCTCTAGTATTTTTCTTCAGACGAATGCTATTTAAATATCTATATAAAAATATCATAAAATATTAGTTTAGTATCTTATACTTGATTTTTTTTCTACCTATTAGATATTTATATTAAATAATTATAATGGTCAATCTTCGTATGATCTAAATTTTGAATAATAATTTATTAAAACCTGAAATTATAAATAAGAGTTCAAAAAATTGCACCACAAATATTACTTTTATATATACGAAAAAAAAGTGCGGCATCCAAGTCAGATAACATTGTACATGATGCTAAATGGTGATCATGCAGTTGATAACAAATTCATATAAATATATTTACCAAAAACAAAACCTTAATAAATTTTAATTTTAAAAAAAAATTGTAACATTTAAGACCGAAAAGCTACTAACAAATCAAATACACATAAAATTTTTATCTAACCGAAAAAATTGAATACAAAAATAATTATAACAAAACATAATCCAAATGCAATATCGGTTAGTTTACATGGGCTTGTGGTAACCCATTGGTTTTATTTCGGATTAGTTTACATTGGCTTTATCATATGGCCCAAATACACAAAACTACACAACATTTTCGAAACCAAATCAAAACATAATATTTTGATATATCAAAATTAAGTCTACCAATGATCATAAATTGATACAAAATTTGAATTTAGACCATGAAATCATTTGATTTTTTTGTTTTCAATTTAAATACAATTTCTAAGATAAGTTGATCATTCTTTTTTCTTTATATAAATAGATTATCAATTCAAGAGAGAAAATAAGAAGCTCTAATTTGAAAGATATTTTATTATTTTTCTCTGTTTATCTCCCGCGGCGCGTGTCGTCCAAATCCCTTGAGGTCGAGTGAGATATGACATGAGACATTGAGACCCACTTCATGGGACCCACTCCTTATCTACCATTAAATAAGTTTGGGGAAAACCTTATCCCTTTTTTTCCTTGGCAAAACGAAACATAATAACGACAAAAAAAACGACGATATATAAAGACAGTTAACACGGACCAAATCTCCGACATTATAGAGTTAAACCCACGTCACATATACATATGAAATTTCCATATATAACCCCCAAACCACCAAAGCTGACACCTTTCATTTCTTTCGCAAAATCGTCTAGTACTTGTAACCCTTCTCGAACAAGCTCTCAGAGGCGGCGGATCCGGTACCGGCGCCACCGCCGGCGTATTTTCCGATGGTGGCGTCGGAGTTGGCCTTGCACCGGACGAGGAACGTGGCCTGAGCCTTGGTGACATTCTCTTTCTTCCCGGCCCACGTCTTGAGAGTGCTCTGCTGAAGAGCTCGCCCGAAGGAGAAGGATAGCGTCCATGGTTTCAGGACCTCGAGCTTGTTCATGGCGTCCAGGTTCAGTGTCGCTTCCTCTTCGCTCTGCCCTCCCGACAGAAACACGACCCCTGGAACGGCCGGCGGTACTGTCCGGCGGAGAGCCGCCACCGTGTACTCCGCTATCACCTCCGGTCCCACCTGTGTTCGGTTTCGGATGCATATACACAAACACATACGTATATTCAGCACAAATCATTTCGAAATTATAAGAAAAGGTAACGTTTTCCGGTTGATGTTCTGTTTGGTTACCTTTGGGCTGTCGGAGCCTGGTGTGACCATGTTGGGTTTAAGCAGAGTGCCTTCAAGAAGAACATGATGATCATTCAAAGCCTTGTAAACGGCGGCAAGAACCGTCTCGGTCACGGCGGCGCATTTCTTGATGTCGTGGTTCCCGTCGGTCAGAACCTCCGGCTCGACTATAGGGACCAGCCCATTCTCCTGGCAGATGATGGCATAACGTGCAAGCCCCTTTGCGTTCTCTTGGATGGACAGTTCGCTTGGCTCGGTGGGCCCAATCTTCAGGACGGCACGCCACTTGGCAAACCGTGCTCCAGCCTTGTAGTACTGCTGGCAACGTTGTCCAAGCGAGTCCAGACCCTGCGTGGTGGTCTCACCATTGGTCCCGGCTAGTTCGACCACACCCTTGTCTACTTTTATCCCGGGGATAACTCCGTTTTCCTGCCGAGAAACAAGAATCATCAACAATGTAAAACCCGAGAAAGTTCCTACATTTCTGGTTGAATCTCATCTCAAGTTTCGCCCATGATTTCAGATCCAGCTAAAGTTTCGGACTTTTGAATTAGTCATCGACGAACCTCGAGGACATCGACGAAGGGTTTGCCATCAGAGGTTTTCTGGTAAAGGGTCTCCTCGAAAAGGATAACGCCGGAGATGTAAGAGAGTGCACCGGGGGAAGTGAAGAGAAGCTCCCGGAGAGACTGACGGTTCGACTCGATGTTCTCGACATTGATGCTCGCCAGCCGTTTCCCTATGGTTCCAGTGCTCTCATCCGCCGCTAATATCCCCTTTCCGGGTGTGGCTATGTACTTGGCCGTCTTGATCAGCTCATCTGAACACAAGACACAACCAGAGTTTCGCATGAGAGAACACTCCAACAGGAAGAATGCGAGAGAGATGGGATTTACCTGCGTACTTGCCGACAAAGGCAGACATGGTTTGCTTGTAAGGCAAGGAACAGGAGTTTGCAGAGGAGGACGAAGAGAACAAGACAAGAGCTTCATAACCTGCAACCCTAACGTCTATATAGAGATGATATCACAAGGGAATATACTGTAAGAATCCAACACGTGTTCGAAGCAGAGCCTTCGACCTCGGATAAAGCAACGGGTGATTGCTTCTGATGCCAAGTGGCAGCCAAAGATACATGCTTTATCCCAAAGTCTTGGATATGTGGAAGAAGAGAGATAGAGAGGTACAGTACAAAAGCAGTCTAATGGACAGAACCGCAAGTGTCGTCTCACAAAAGTACAAAAAGGCCTTACAAGAGATTTAAGATCTCTTGTCCTAACCAAACAATGCATTTTGGATATGGAATCTCAGAAGTTCAAAGGATAGATATATCATATAATAATAATATGGTACACAGCTGAGTTCAGAGTTCAGAATTCGATCGAACCTTTCATGTGGGTATTATGGTATTGTTATTAAGTAAATCAAAATTGCTCCCATAAAATATTGGGAAACGTAAAGGCGATTCCTTTTGATAGTTCGTGGGGAGCTGTAATGAATCTGCAGCCATGGAAGAAGGGATTACTGCTACAGGACCACCATTGTTTCCTCAAAGTCATCGTCTGTGCCAAAATATCGGTCCCCAAACTCGCCCATACCAGGAATTACGCGATATTCTTCGTTCAACCCAATTTCAATCTCGGAGGTCACTATCTTTATTCTCGGGAATCTTTTGCAGACGGCATGAACGCCCTGAGGTGCCTGGTTAAACGAACGAAAATCTCGGGTCGATCACAAGTCTTGTTGATATATGCGGATTATGAGTAAGCGAAATATAGAGTATTTGTGAAGTGTGTGTTGGAACTTACCGAGATAAGGTTTAGAAATATGATGTTGGACTCGGGTACGCCCTTGCTTATAAGAAGGCTAATAGCTTGGACCGCTGAATTTCCTGAGAAAATGGATGAAACATCATTGAAAAAATACAGTTTAGTACGAAAGCACGATGCTTGAAAGGTGTAAAACGGGAAAGAGAAAACATGAAGACAAGTCACCTGTGCCGAGAATAGGATCCAGCAATAGGACATGCCTCTCCGAGATGTCGTTTGGCAATTTCTCATAGATAAGCTGCACGGTAATATCGACGTCAAGACAAGAATCGAGCGTCAGGAACAAGTACATAAACTGAAAATGGACGGGCAGGTTTCTTGCTTCATTACCTGTTGACCATTGTCACCTTCCCTATGAATCAGGATCTTACCGATCTTGATGCCTTTGCAACATGCTCGTAATGCATTCTCCATGCTCTCACCACTATAGCCATTATTCCATATTATCGTTATGTGGGTGAGAGAGCCGGACAAATGAAAAAACTAACCGGGCGAAATAGGTTTCAGTTTGGAGTAGGTAAGTACCTTCTAATGACAGAGACACCACATAACCTTTTACAGAAATCCACACCGGAATACACAGATCCTGGGTTTCAAAAAATGGAAACGGTTAAATACAAATCTCAATAATCTATTATGGAGCAAGACCAGAGTATTACACACTGAGAAATAGTGGTGAATCCGATAGAAGACTCGTAAAAATAATGTCAAACGAGCTTACCGGTAGGAGTGATAACCTGCATTTCAGTAAATGGTAGATGCCCAAGCCCATGTTCTACAACCTGTCAAAAATGTAAATAATTATGTTGAGAACACAAGAATGCAAAAGGAAGATTACCCAAAGTAATCTTGAGAATTTAGCCCTACCAGCCGGATCAATCTATCAGAATAAAAGATGAAATCATGTTTGGTTGTCTGGGAATCTCGTATAAGGGTGTGCATACCTCGTATCTGAGAAAACAAGCAATTTCCCATTAAGAAATTTAAACATCGTTTCTCTGATAGTTAAGGATGGAAATCGAAATGCGAATGGTGCAGCCATACAAGAAATGATGATTAGTGTTTAAAATAAGGAAGGTACAGTTACCTGAAATGTCGACTGAATAACATATAGATTAGGGTATATTTTGCAGAGATCATGCTGACCGAGCTTGGTGTGAATATGTTGCACGATTAAGTCGATCGCTACATGATTATCCCCACCACGAGGAATTATGATATCTGCATATTTCTTCGTAGGAAGAATGAAGTCATCGAAAGCCGGCTTTACAAACTTGGAGTACTGCACCAAATGATGAGAGATCGATAGAATATTTGTTAGACAACACCCGGGTAAAGGTCAAAAGAATTTATCACTGACCCGGAAGATGATAGTTGTGGAAATCAACTTATGAAAATTAACACGGGCTAACCTGATCAAGTACTGTGCCGACATCTCTACCCTTCTCGGCAGTATCACGTTTTATCCTTCTTGCCAGACGCACATCAGCATCTGCACGGGAAAAATCTAACGTGAAAAAGCTTCCCAAAGATTTCAAGAGTTTGGTACATTCTTTAAGATCTAGACATTGTTCCTTCATTTGAAATCTTGAGAGCTCGGTCCAAAAGCATATAACACAAAATCATAGAAGGAACATGATATTAAAGCAAGAGAGAGTAGCAGAATCAACCCAGGGAGGAGGAGAAAGGAAAATAATGTTACCCGTGTCAACAAAAATCTTCATGTTCATCAACTCTCGGACACGAGTATCGTGGAATAAAAGTATTCCTTCAAGAATTATAACATCTGAAGGGTTTACCTGCAAAACATTTTTCAAAGGAAGATGTATCATTTAACAGTGATCATAGAACATATTTATGGTCACATCCTCAACCAGATAAAAGCCAGTGACAATATGGTTAGAGTGATATGGCAAGGGCCTAAAGAATCACAAGAGGTCATCTCCAGGTAATATGTATTTTCTTAAGCAACAAAGTTTTTAATTCATTACAAGATTTTTGATCCTTCAAATTCCATGGCATAAGACATTATTGAGAAAGGTGAAGACGGTACCCTTCTCGAAATGCTGCTCTTGTAAGTTTTGAAGTCGTATTTTGGAATGTCCACTGCTTGGCCTCTCCTCAATCTCTCCATACAACATAATAAATGCTCGGTGTCAAATGCATCTACAAAGAAGACGATAATATTCAATAAGAATTCAAAACCAACAAAGATTGATTTATTGACACTTTTCTTGTTTTACTCCTAGAAAGTAATAAGGAACAGTCATGAATGAAATTGCAATGACAGTTAAACAATATGGTGCCCTGGTAATCCCAAAGGAGACTGGAAGAGATAACAGCATCTAAAACGTATACTAGCATCATAGCATCAGACGTATTGCCACCGGTGCATCATCGAAAATTAGACACACTTCAAAGATATTCTCACCCGGATGATCAAAGTTGTATTCATGAACTCTAGCAAGTTCTTCTTCAGTCAAATTATGGTAGAATGAATCCTGCCACATCATTCATCTTTTGATACTTAGTTTCACAATTTCTGGGTTATCATGAAGACAAAGTACCCATTAATGAGATTCAAACAATGATATAGTAAACAATATCCAACAGGAACAGGTGCTTATATGGGTTATTATTTGGTTTCAATCTCCTTAGTACTGAGTGGAATGCACCCAACATAATGAAATCTTTCTGTTGTTGAAACAGAACTAATTACCTGATTAATAAGAACAACACGCTGATCACGCAGTTGCTGAATGATCATGTCACAAACTGCAGTCTTTCCCGAAGCAGCGCCTCCAGCAACACCTAGTCACCATAACTCAAACCACCGCGTCTTAAACCGAGAATTCACACGTCTGTATCTATGAATGATTTTGTTCTGTTGAGAAGTATATGGAGAGAATACAACTGACTTAACCATACCTATAATAAAAGGTTGGCTGTGCATATCGTCTGATTCTGAATTAATTTCTGGTAATGTTGTCTTCTTCAACCCATTGATGTGGAAACCGGAAAGATGGACCCCTGAAGAGGCTTCCATTATGTCCAAGACAGATTTGGAACCCATTCTTTGTAACCTACATACAGAGGAAACAACTCTCAAGACAATAACCATTCCAATGCAATGCCATAAAAATCTTAATTTCTTTCTCATCCCCAATAATGCATAAACACTACAGACAAAAAACCAAGGGAATCTTACACCGTCCCAACTGTTGTGTGCACAGCTCCCAAACAACACCAAACAACGGTCCAAAAAAACACCAAGAATCATAGTTTTACTTTACACTCGAGAATCATGGACATTCAATGATTAATACCTTGAAGAATCTCTAGTGTATCAAAACCCTGTTGCCTAAAGTAGTTTGAACTTTGGTTCAAACCCAGAGATGGCAGAAAACAAATCGGCAATCCCCTCCAACAATCCTTACTCAGTATTCTTATCACAATGTGAAACCCATTTTCCCAAGAAAGCCGAGAAGATCACTGTGAAAGTTTTCTCTGTAATCAAAATTGATAGAACCTCGATCAGCGTCAGTTTCACCCCACGGATCAGCCCAATGCAAAGCTACCCAGAAACCCAAACACTACAAAGTCATGAAATTTAATCATACAAAATAGTGGGCAGGCTTCGTCTTCAGCGGTACAAGCATCGCTTCTCAGATCGAGCATATCAGGTTGAAATCCAGCTAATATCACACAAATCATTCACGCAGATAGAAATAAACAAAACGCAAACGAACTAAAGAAATGCGTACACAACTAAACAAAAACAAAAGCACTTAAATCCGATTCGGAGATTCAGATATTACCAGATTTAGCTCCGAGGGAAGGATCTGTGCAGACGTCAAAAAGGAAGATACTTTCTCTGGAAGTGAATCCAGAGGAAAACAGTTTAATATCCGACGAGAAAAGGACAGTTTAACTTTGATTATTTTTTTAATTCATCAATTGGGAAAAGGCTGAATTCAGACATAGATAGATTCCGAGGGGTATTATATATTTATCGGAGCGATGTGTGAGGAGGTGGTGACGAAGGCGAGGACGAAGACGACGCTGCATCTGAAATTTCCTTTATTTACGAAAAGGGTCATGTACTCTTAAAACGTTCAGAATCAACCCTCAGTTGGTGGACTTTCCTCTTTGGGGACGTTAAAAATGGTATCATTAACAATTTGAACTGATCTCATGCCAATATTGCAAATATTTTCCTCTCTTATTGCCATTTTGATTAGCTCGTGTGATATTAAGACGGTCTAATATTTTCAGGGAATTAGGTTATTTGGTTTGATTATTTAAATTTGCTATATATGATGTTTTGTTATAACAATCAATTTAAGCGTCTCATATATATTTTTTTAGGAATTTTTAGAATAGTGTGTTAATTTTTATACGGGAATAGCCTTTTTATTGTAGTTTTTAAACCTTTTATAGTTTTTATGCGGTTTTACAATAAATAGTTGTATTGTTTGGCATATCTAGAACTATTTCATATAGAATAAAATCGGAGTGTGTGCATATATATATATATATATATATATTGCAAAAATATATACAAATAAACCTTCAACTTGAAAAATTATCATTCAATCACCGAACTTGTAACTTGTCACTGAATAAAACTTCGAACTTGCAAATTATTGCTCTAATAAACCTTTGACCGGTTTGACCATAATTTCAGGCGAGCAGAAATCCACGTATTAACGGATTGTTGATGTCACCTTACACACGTTATCAATTTTAATTTAAAAAATGACATTAGCAATCCGTCAATACGTGGATTTCCGATCGTTTGAAATTGTGGTCAAACCGGTCAAATGTTTATTAGAACAATAATTTGCAAGTTCGAGGTTTTATTCAGTGACAAGTTATAAGTTCGGGGATTGAATCAAAGTTTTTCTAGTTGAAGGTTTATTTGTATATATTTTTGCAAGTTGGAGGTTTTTTAGGAATTTTACCCTATATAAAAATATTATTATTCATATAATTTTTTAGAATTTAATATTTATTTTTACATAATATAAGGACTCTATGTATATTAATCTTTTTTTAGGGATAAACCCAAAAAAAACTCTTAACTATCTCATTTACACCAAAAAACCTTCTACTTATAATTCATTATAAAAAACTATCAACTATTAATTTTTAGAAAAAAAAACTAACAACTATATAAATTATTTAAAATCTATATTTGCTTTAAATTTGTTATAAAAATCCATCAATTATTAATTTTAATTAAAAAATTCATCATTTATCTAAAAATATATTTTATTTTAAATTTATTATAAAAATATATAAAATTTGAATAGATATATATATATAAATTATACAATTCTAAAAATCATAATAAAAATATAATATTTATTTTAACTTATCATATTGTAATATTTAAAATTTATATAAATATTGTAAACATCAATCTTTATATAATAAATTTGTATACAAATGTTATATTTAAAATTGAATATATTTTATTGGTTGTAAATATTATATTTAAGTTTTATCATATATTAATATTTGTGGGGTAAAACTATTATTGTTATTTTTCTATAACAATTAAAAAAAAATCATAGATTCTTATAATAATTTTAATAAAAAAATTCATCAACTATTTGAAATTATAAAAAATATTTTATTTTAAATAAAAAATTATAACCAATAAAATATATTAATTTACAATATTATATATAAAAATTATCATATTTTTATTTTATTTTAAAAAATACATATATTATCTCTTATATTTATAACCAATAAAATACACACAATTTGTATTCTCTCAAATATCAATATATGATAAAATTTTAAATATAATATTGTATAATTTATGTATGTTTTTTCATTCAAATTTTATAGTTTTTTATAATGATTGTAAAGTATAATTTTTTTGAGTAATTAATATAGATGATGATTTTTTTTATATTAAAATTAATAGTTAGATAATTTTTTATAATAAATTTAAAGTGAAAGGTTGGTTTTAAATAGTTTATATAGTTGATAATTTTTTTATCCAATATTTGATAGTTTTTTATAATAAATTTTTAATAAAAGATTTTTTTGATGTAAATAAAATAAGTTAAAAGTTTTTTTTGAGTTTAGCCTTGTTTTATGAATTTGACTTAACCATGAATTATATGACCGGTTACCTTTTTGGTTAATTCTGTATTTACCGGTTGAATTGGGCTGAGACAGGTCGAGCAATATGAGGTGTCTTTGGCCTTCTCCGGCGTCACAAACTCATCTTCTTCATCGTCATCACCGCCATCTCTCTGGAATCTTCCCTTCGAAAATGGCATCCCTTTCTTCTTCTTGCTCTGCCTCCTCTCTTCGTTTGGTTCCGTACGAAAGAACCTTGTTTTCTCTTCACCCGTCGAAAACCCTGATCTCGCCGCCTCTAAAACCGCCGGAATTTCCCTCTTTCCGCCGGACCATCGTCACTTTCCAGAGCATACCAACAGGAATCTCTCTGTCGGTTTCGGCTTCGTCGTCGCCGTCGAGCTCTGTGGAACTCCAACCGATCGAAGAGCTTCCCCCGAAGCTCCAAGAGATCGTCAAGCTGTTTCAATCGGTGCAACAGCCGAAGGCCAAGTACGAGCAGCTTCTGTTCTACGGTAAGAATCTGACACCGCTCGATGCCCAGTTTAAAACGAGAGAGAACAAAGTACAAGGATGCGTTTCTCAGGTGTGGGTTAGGGCTTTCCTCGACGAAGAACACAACGTCATGTTCGAAGCAGATTCCGATTCGGTTCTTACGAAAGGACTAGCGGCTCTTCTTGTTCAGGGGTTATCTGGAAGACCCGTGCCGGAGATTTTGCGGGTCACGCCAGATTTCGCGGTTCTTCTCGGTTTGCAGCAGAGTCTGACTCCTTCTCGGAATAATGGGTTCCTTAATATGCTGAAGCTGATGCAAAAGAAGGCCCTTCAGGTAGCGGTCGAAGCCGAGGAGAATAAAGGGTCTACTCGTGAAGCGGATAATGGTAAAGAAACTGTTCTTGATTCGGATTCTGGGTATAAAGCCAGTGAACACGTGGAACTGGGAAGTGATAAGATCCAAAATCCGGAGAATGGGACGAACTCTGGTGATTTGGGAAATAGAGGGATGATGATAAAAGATAAACTGGAGAGGGAGCTGAACCCTGTCGAATTAGAAGTTGAAGATGTTTCTTATCAGCACGCAGGCCACGCTGCTGTTAGGGGGAGTGGCGATGGAGAAACCCATTTCAACTTGAGAATCGTTTCGGATGCTTTCAAAGGGAAAAGCTTGGTTAAGAGGCATAGGCTGATATATGACATGTTACAAGACGAGTTTCAGAATGGATTACATGCTTTATCCATAGTGGCAAAGACTCCGGCTGAAGTTTAAAAGGGAGAGAGAGGAGCAAAGGCCAAATTCTTTTGCTTTCTTAGTCCATTAGCTTTGGATTTGTGCCTCTGATCCTTTAACAAAGTTTACTCCTCTAGTTTGTAACAATAAAGGGTTTGCATTCGTGTGGATATCCATAGCGATTTTGCTTCATGGTCTGGAATACTTCTTGTATGAATTCCAATTCATTATATATGCATAATAAGAGATTGTCACTTGGACCTCCTTGTTTTGATTTATGAAGTTTCTCTCTTTGGATCTGTAAGTTATGCCCTCTGAAAAAAACTGCAGAAGGCAAGCAAGAAACCGAATTTAGTGATACATGGTGTTTGCCAATGAGATAAAGGTTCAAGATTTGATACTTCCCTTCAGCCCTTAGACTTAGTTTCATGATCTTGATTGGCGGGTAGTTGGTTGCAGGATCAAAGTCTGTAGCCTCTTTTTTACGAGATACAGTGAAATTTTAGGAATTCCATCCATGTTGGCTTCTGTTGGGAGATGGCAAATATGAATCTGGAATCAGAATCTGCAGCAGGTTAAGATCATTCTCTTGGTTTTCTTGATTCCCAAACTCACCAAACCAGATCAATCTTTACAGCTGCACATACACTGATCTCTGTTCCTGCATCGAGTGTACGTGGTTTTCGTCTTTTTTTTTATACTTTCTTGGAGGTAGTGGGTTCTTGGCCTCGATGGCGAGAAAGACGACCAAAAGTAGCAGTCCCTGAAAAAGATTCAGGACAAAGGCCGAAGACAAGACACAAACCAGTTTACCTTTTCTCGGCTCCGACAGTGCCTTTGGATTTCTGTATCAGTGGCCTTGTTGGAGACCACTTGCTTTGTTCCAACGACTTGGTTAAGTTAGCTGTACCGAACCGGTTTCCGGTTTAATACAATAAACCGAGCCTGTGAAATTAAAGCTCAGAACATTAGTTAACCCGCTGGTTCACTGAGAGGCTTCAAAGTGAACAAAAGCAGTAACTGAGCACACTGTGAATCTGTGATACTATACAAGTAAAAAGAGACAGCTAATCATTTCCCACAGCTATAAAAGGCCGTGGAGATTTTTAGAGGGCAACATGAAACTTGTGTTGCGTGTGCGAGAGAGAGAGAGAAAGATAAAGAAGAAGGAGAGCTCTCTGGTCTCGGAACTGCTCCGCCGCGACATCTTCTTTGCTTTGAGCTCCGATCATCCGTGCGGTGGCCGGTTGGTCGTTGTGACGGACGGTGGGGATTTGTTGGTGAAGTTGTCGGAGGTAGAAGCCGTCGAGATGATGATGATGACGTCACTCGGAGGGGGAGGAGGAGGAGGTGCCGGCGGCGGCGGTGCTAGTGGTAGTGGTGCCGGAGGGAGGTTTATGCCGTACACGCCATCCCCGTCGGTGGCTCCGCCGGCTCCTCAGTCGCCTAACATCTCCGGTGGTCTCCGATCGCAGCCCTCGGCCCTCGTTGAGCAGGAGAAGTAATTAAATCTTAGTTTATTCTTCTTCTTGTTACTGGCAGTTCATGCATCTGCTGATAAGTGCCGATCCTTGTTTTGCTGCTTGAATTTCTCAGATCTTCATGTTCCTCGCAAATCTGGATGCTTTGATCGGTTTTTCTTTTGGGTTCGTTTTGAGTATGCTAGGATCTGTCGTTCTACACTGATGCGGTGATCGGATTTCAATGTTTATGTTTCTGTTCTTAGCTTTTACGATTTAAGTTCAGATTTCTTTAAAGTTCAATCTACTTCAATTTTGCTTCGACCCATTTCGTTTCTTCAATTAAGGATCGGAGTGTTTATCTTAGGATCTTGCAGGATCATTGGATTGTTTTCTTCTTTCTTGTATTATATACTCGTGTTCATGAAACTATAAAGGCTTCATGCTTAGGGAGATTGATTTAGATCTATCTCACCAGGACAAGTTGCCATGATGTCTGGATACTGATGCTTGGATGAGGATTTTCCCTAGAAAAATGCTTGAATCTGATCAAGATTATTAGGGTTTGTGTTCATTATTTAATAATGTGGAGCTTGTTATGAGTCGATCCCATTGGAAGTCTGTTGTGTGCTTGGGGCATACTGATATGTATAATCATTTCACTTTCATCTTTGTCAGGTATCTTTCAGAGTTACTAGCAGAGCGTCACAAGCTTAATCCGTTCTTACCTGTTCTTCCACACGCCTATCGACTGCTGAGCCAGGGTGAGCCTTACTGCTTGCATATTGTTCAATCTGCATTTGTTGAATTGTATGCCTAACCTTCAGCCTTTAACCTAATCAATAGTTCCACACTTCCAAGTTTTAACAATTCCAAAATACTACAGTGTGTTCACTTCATCTCACTTGAGCAGGTTTTTGCTTCCTTAAACTGTGTTGGCAGCTTTTGGCTTCTTTAAACTGTGTTGAAAACAGGGCGACCACAATTCTAGTGACAAACAGATGAAATCATAAAGTATTTTCTACTTGAGAAATGTTCAGTAAATGCATGTTAATGTTGTAGCATATGGCTTCAAACCATTTACTGGGAAATCATATACTGATTTCTGATTGGTGTCCATGGACAATCCATGCAAGGTTGACCTGATTCGATCGACTTCTTTGTGTGACCTTCTGAGAGTTCATAGGAGCTACTTATTTGAGCAGATCTGAATGTTCTCATTGTTTCTTGGTCTGTTACATTCAATTTAACTAGAGCAAGAGCTACATATTGATTCTTCACTAACTCTGTTAACTATGTCTTCCCTCCATTCAGTGGTCATTGCTAACCGATTTGATGACTAATCCTAACTGGTACGTCTTACTCTTGAAAATTGACACTTTTGGAACAGAAATTTTGCGTGTAACCACACTGTTGGAGAATGCCTCAGTTTTAAGTCAGACTGGGTTTGATCACCCTAGCCCTCTGGTTTCTGGAGGGATATTTCAGAATGCAAGGGCTGACGTGAACGGATGGACGTCGCAATTTCAACCAGAAGTACGGCTACTAACCATTAACATAAGTTATTTCCATCTAATTCATGTTGTCGCAATTGAAGCTTTATTGACTGAAGTTATGCTGACATAACTTGTTTGACTGCTTTTTAACCATAGTTCGTCATGACAGGTAGCCTGGGCTAACACCGAATATCAGTAATGTTGTACAGGGTCTTGTCTTGAGTCAATACTAACCAGATACTCTGGTATCGGATCGGCAGGAGTTATATCAATGTTAGGCGCAGCTGTGAAGTGTAAAATTGATGCAGTTGCAGTGCTCGCAAGAATGCTCATTGAGTTGCGATCACTTTATAAATATTAGGATATCATTTGCAGATCGCAAATGCCTCAATACGCATTGCAAGTTTCTGTGGAAGAGACTAAAATTTTCGATATTCTTTTGTCATTGATGCTTCAAGTATAAAGCCTTTAATGCTTAAAGGGTAATGTGGCTTCTAACAGTGTCCTGATTGGTCATTTGCAGAGATCTGTCTCATCATCGCCGGCACCAAATTGGCGTAACTCTCCTGGAAGCTCGTCGGGTCTCATTGTTAAGCAGGCAATCAGGGTGGATATTCCTGTCGACAAATACCCAAATGTATGCATGCTTCTCTTCTTGCTGATATCCAAAATTAGCTTGCCTGATAAAACATATAATTGTAATTCGATTTTTGCAGTACAATTTTGTTGGCCGCCTCCTGGGTCCTAGAGGAAACTCTCTGAAGCGAGTTGAAGCAAGTACCGGTTGCCGCGTACTGATAAGGGGGAGAGGCAGCATTAAGGATCCGATTAAGGTATTTATATCGTACTGGTTGTAGACAATTGCCACTTCATACATGTATATCGATCTTCTGGCATTCGTCGCTAGAAAAGACTTACGTAGTTTGCATCTTGAAACGTTTCACTCTGCCAGGAGGAAATGCTGAGAGGAAAACCAGGGTATGAGCACCTGAATGAGCCCCTCCATATCTTAGTGGAGGCAGAGCTACCGATTGAGATTGTCGATGCACGTCTCATGCAAGCTCATGAAATACTAGAAGATTTGCTTACTCCTGTGGTTTGTTTAGCGATTTCCTCTCTTACTTGTTCATGATTCAGAAGATTCTTGAATTCCAACCACTCTTCAATCTCTTTTTTTTTTTTCCATATTAGGATGAATCCCATGATTTCTACAAGAAACAGCAGCTCCGGGAGCTGGCGATGCTCAACGGCACACTGCGTGAGGAAGGGTCGCCAATGTCTGGTTCGGTCTCTCCTTACAACAGCCTCGGCATGAAGAGAGCCAAGACAAGGGGATAGATTCTGTCAGTGTCTCTCAATCCAATTCTTGCTGTCTCACCTTTCGAAAGGTATGCGTCCACTGATCCTTTCCAAGAGAAGGGCTTTACGACACCGTCCCCTCGTCCGTCCTGTTGGTACCGTGTCTTGTCCATGGGAATAAATCGTCCTATACGAAGTGTGCTTATTTATCGTGTCCCCAGAGAGCTTAGAACCGTCGGGGCTTACACGCAAGAAGTGGGGGAATGAGTCTGGCTTGTCCTAGTCTTTGGCTTTTTTGTGTGTGTGTGTGTGTGTGTGTGTGTGTGTTTTTAAAAAAAATTCTGCTTAGGAAGTTCAGTTCTTAAGATAGTATTGTCATTGTCACCAAATTCTTTGATAAGCTGTTTGCTTAGCCTGGATTTTCTGAAACATCATCATATTGTTCTTAATGTGTATTGCTTTTTGTCAGACTAAGTATTGTATTTGCATTCAACACATCAAATCCTATCACTTGTTGTTGTTTCATGCATAGGGAACATGTAGGAAATGCAGTTTCGATACAGTTCTTAGCGTTTTTGTTTTTCGTTTCTTACATCTACGGGGATCCGACGGCTAGGTTCGGGACGAAACTTCAAGCCATGTCGTCGTCGTCTTCATCGTTTTCCTCGATCCCGACCCACTGAGTGAAGGCGAACAAGAACTCCTTGAAGTTCACCATTCCGTTCCTGTCCCAATCCATTTCCTCTGCACCAAAAAAAGGGCAAGTAAGTAAAAACACATTCATCACCAGCTACTGATTCAATCCTTTGGTTTAAGTGTTACAGGTAAGTAAAGGTAACGACCGAATCTCTTCATGGCGATTCGTCCGGACGACCGCTCACCGGACTCGTCTATGGCATGGACCATCTCCTCCCGGCTAACGTAGCCGTCCTTGTTCTCGTCGAGAAACACAAAGGTATCGACCAAAGTCTCGAACGTGGCCTCCAGCTTCGGCAAGCTTGGTTAAGAGGCATAGGCTGATATATGACATGTTACAAGACGAGTTTCAGAATGGATTACATGCTTTGGTCGGATTGTCGGATTTTGAAACAGAAAGAGTCGATTACGGTGGAGGGATCGTCCTTGAGAAGATAGACGAGGCAGAGGAGGACGATGAACTCCTTGAAGGTAATCCCCATGTCGTCGTTGATGTCGCATCCCTCGAAGAGATCTCTTATCTCTTCCTCCGTCATCGAAATCTCCAGCTTCTCGAAGCTCTTCTTCAGCTCCTCGTGATCGATCCACCCATTCGAATCTTCGTCTTCAGTAAACCGAAAAACAAAATCAACATTTCGATGAAAAAGAAGTTCAAAATCAAAATATATATATATATATATTTACTAACCGAACTGGTGGAAAATGGATCGGCAGTTGCGAAGGCCGTCGTCGATCTTGGGGAACTTCAAGACGATGCTGTTGAATGATTTCATGGAGGTGCCTCTGGAAGCTCTTCGCTGCATTGCTTCGCTGATCTTGGCCTCCAGCTTCGTCTCTGGTACCCATTCCCGTCCCGATTCTGCCTTTGTCACCGTCCCTCCCATCTTTTTTTATATCCCAATTGGAAAAAAAAAACACGGAATCTCTGGTCTGGTTGGTGCAAGAACTCCGACAGCCCAGATTCGTAGATTCACCTGTCATTAAAACACCCCACACACAAAAAGCCAAACAAGAAGAAGAAAAAAAAAGAAATGCGAGAATTATGGTTTCTTGTGATGCAAGGTAAGTTGGATTCCGTCGTATTAAAGAGAAAGTTTAAAAATCACATGAATCTGGCCAATATCATAAGATAAGATAGATCATCTACACCTCTTAAAATTCACGAGCAGTGAATGGATCTACGGACCCATTTCAGATTCAGCTAAGATCACTCAAAAAAAAAAAGACATGGAAAGAAACAACCAGAGCTCGGATTATTCCGACCGGAAATGACAGGAAGAACAACTAGGAGCTCTGATGATAAAAAAAAAAGAAAAGAAAAAAGAGACAACCTTTTCTTTGGGGGGCTTTGGCTCTTACTCTTCCTCCTCCACCACAGGAACTGTATCTGCGATAATATCTCTGTCACTCACAAGATCAATTCGTGTTTCTGGTTATTTTAGGAGAAAGGAGTTGAAGAAGAAGGCAGAAGGTTCCATGTTGTGCGCATCTTAAGAAGAAACGCTCTCTGACTTTTTCCTCCTCCTATCGATTAGCACCACCTCTTTTTGGTTATAAATTTATAATAATTAATTGTGTTTATCATGTTTTTTGCCATTATACTATAAAATCTTCATTATTAGTTCATGTGATCTTGACACGAAAGGGAACGTCATATTTATTAATTTAAAAAAACCCCGATTTTGACGTAGATCAGATCATCCATGTATATATCCGTGGATTGGCCCAATGGGCTCAAATGTTGAGCCCAATGGGCTTAGATTATGAGCCCAATGGACATTAGAGAAACAATGTTGAAACCAACCAATGAGTTCCCCCTCTACTAACACTCTGGTCCAAATGAAGATTTTCGTTTAAGAACCGAACATCCAATCATTGGAATGGAATATTACATAGCACCCGTAATCGAATGATTATCATTTAAAGAAAAAAACTAAAAAAAATAAAATCCGAATTTGGATCGAACCGAATAAAAATCATAATCGATAAAATAAACGAATGTTGTTGTCAATAAAAAAAATTAAAAACCGAAATCGATCCTATTATAACCGAACGAAACCTAAATAAACCACCCCTTAGGTTTCACAACGGACAATTGAATATCCTAAAATTTTGGATTTTCAATTTAGATTTTAAACGGTTTCGGATTTTAAGATTGAAAATTCTATTCTAAAATTATGGTTTATGGAATATAGTACTGTTCTCGATCCGAAATAGCGAAAATTTTTCTGAGTATTATTTTTTTAGAAAACCGAATTTTTCGAAATGGAATCAAACTGAATTTTTAAAAAAATCCAAAAACTGAAAATTTGTTAAGAAAATCTTAATAAAAACCGAATTTGGAATCGAATGTAAAATAATAATCGATTGATATATATATAGTATAAAAGCAAAAAACTGAACTGAATAATTTTTAAACCGAAGTCGAATCGAATACCGAATCAACCATCTATGCTCCGAAGGTTAAGAAGAGATTATAGCAAGATGAAAAGAGCATTATCAAATAAAACGAAAAAAATATATAATTTCACCGCCTAATAAAAAAAATCCGTACCATCGAATGAATCATTTCAATTTCTTAGTAAACCCCTAATACGACACCGTTTCAGTTGAGGCGTCGTAGGAACCATAGATTCATTCATAAACAAGGACGGCTAGTTTCCGCGTTCTTCTAGGCTGTCATCCAATGTCATTGTACCCCACCAAAAATAAAATTTTAAATTAATCACCGTTAAACATACAAACTTTTAATTAGGTCCTTATACTTTTATCCTCCGATAATGAACCCTTTTTCTACTAAATTCTCACGATATTTTAATGAAAACCCACACGTCACTCTAAATTCTTAAAACATAGATTCTGAAATTTTAAATTTTAAGGGGCCCACAAAAAAAGTTCCACAGTTATATCTCTTCATATTAAGGTAAGGTGATGATTGATAATTGTAAAATATTGAGCATTAATGCAAAAAAATAGAAACTATAAGGGCTTTGTTTGCATATATATCACATTCGTTAGTTAATCATTTATGACGTTTTTAAGCAGCGCCTTATATTTCTTAAAATCTTTATTGCAACCACTCTCTCTCTCTCTCTTTCTCTCTCTCTCTCTCCCTCCAAGTCTTCGTGGTTGGCCATAGCTCCTCTTCAAGTCGTCGCCCATTGCAGATCTCTTCGCCAGAGCTCCTTTTTCAACGATCATGGAGCTCAAAGGCTTCTCTAAAGTTCTTCTCTTCTTTCTTGTTATAGCAATCTATGCATCTCTCTCTTCTTCAAGTTTCATCTCAGGTAGGTACCTGTTTTTTTTGTTCCTTTTTTTCCCCGGGAATTTCTGTTGATTGACTGATTGAGCTCCCAGATTAGAGGATTTATCAGATATAACATAGATAATACTATGTTATATCTGATAGGATTCGATTTTGTTGATGGGTTTCTGATGAATCGAGGATCTATTTCTTGGTTTCTGCAGATGGTGTGTTCGAATCTCAGACTTCGGTTACTGGCAGGAACCTCCTTCAGGCCAAGAAACGTTAGTGTTTGTTTCTTCTCTCTCTCTCTCTCTCCCTCTCTCTCTCTGTGGTTTCAAATAGTTGCTTGATTTTCACTCTTGGGTCCTGGAAATGTGAGTTGACGAACTTTAATTTGATCTAGTTCATCAGTTCTTGCCTGTTCCACGGTTGGGTTTCTTTTACTTCTATATTTGTGTTACATTTCTTCATAAACCAGTATCTTTCGTCGAAATTTGGAAGATTCTTGAGAGAAAAAAATGTTGATCTGTGCCATATCTTTCCTCGCACTTTGTGTGTAACCAGGAATTGGTATAAAGTTGTGAACTTTTTAACCTCTCTTCTGTAATTTATGGCAAGATCAGGGCATTGCCATTCTTCTTCATCATTACCTCTCTCTAGGCTTATAATGCTTCTGTAACTCCAAGTGGGAGATTCTGCCTGAAAGTTTCTTTCTTGGTTCATGAAAGAAACCGAATTCATCATCCCTTTGAAGAAGCTTCTTAACGTGTTATCTTCTCCTCTTGAACAGCTTGCCCTGTGAACTTTGAGTTTATGAACTACACGATCATAACAGGCCGCTGCAAAGGCCCCAAGTACCCACCAAAGGACTGTTGCTCGGCGTTTAAGGATTTTGCTTGTCCTTACGCCGACCAGATCAACGATCTGAGCACGGACTGTGCCACCACCATGTTCAGCTACATCAACCTCTACGGGAAATACCCACCCGGCCTCTTTGCCAACCAGTGCAAGGAAGGGAAAGAAGGCTTAGCCTGTCCTGCTCTTCCACCGGCCTCAGCTGCCAATGTAAACGCTGCCCACGTTCCCGTTTCTCCTCATCTTTGGCTGGCAACCACGGCTGCGCTCTCGCTGTTTGTCAATCTGTTGTTCTGAGAGGAGGCCGAAAGGAACGATCTTTCTTCTCGGGTTTCTGGATTGTGCACTTAGCTTTTGAAGAGAGAGTGTATTCCACGCAGGATTTGCTTACATTCTTTTGATAGAGATCTTGGGATTCTTTGTAACTTGTATGGCTGTGTGTGTAACATCAAAACGCCCTATTTATTGCTTTAAATCTTTCTGTATTGTGTCTTTGGGTTTCACCAGACAGTGCTCTGCATTACCATATCTCCGTGTTCTTCTGTATAGCTCTCTCCAAATCACAGCACAATATGGAGAAAGCCGACAGTGTATACACGCTATGCAATGTGACAAAAGTGTAATATATGTTGGGGTTGACGTGAGATTCAGCCTTGGCTTGTGAGACTGTTTCTTTGTCATGGATGAGGACAGGTACTTAGCCTTCACACAGAACCTGACTCCGAATCCTATGCACAGAAAAAGAGAAACTGATCGCACTTCAGTTTTTAGAACAAGAAGTGGGAAGACACATCAAATCAAAGCACAAAAAAAAGGTTAGAGCTTTAGGCCATCTGCTCCTTCCTCCTCGCCGAAGAAACGATCAGTCCATGCATGCAAGCACCCATGGTATATATATACACCTCAATTAGGTATATGTCCAGCACTTGCTCTTTTGGTTGTCCCTCTATGCCCTGCATAGGGGTGTAAAACGGGCTGGCCCGGTCTAGTCCAACCCGAATCGTCCCGATCTGGAAAAATTTCAGCCCACTCAAGTCCAATCTGTTTTTTAGCGAGCCAAAAATAGACCATCCCAATCCAAATCGTCTTACCTCGCGTTAAACGAACCGGTTCGTGAGCCAAATATATAAATTTTAAAAATAAAATTTTAATACTAAAAAATATTTAAAAATAATTTTAATATTTAAACTATTTTTAAAATATCTAAAATATAATAAAAAATTAAAATTTTAAACAAAATAAACTAAATATGTAATAAAAATATAATTTATATATATAAAAATATTAAATTTAAAAAAAAATATTTTTCTGACCCGCGAACCAACCCAGATCGTTACGGACTGGCTCCCCCCGAGTCCCG